TAGTAGATAAAGTTACTTATTAGATCCTAAGAAAATATTCTTAACTCCTTCATCAAAATGGGTTTTGATTACAGAAAGCAAATATTATGCATATGAATATATTTAAATTAACAAATCAAATACAGAATGATAAAAACATATTGAAATAAATAATTCTAAAATTGGATAATAAAGAGCAATCGATTCAATAGCTAAATTACTAAGTTAAAGTACAGAAATAGCATAGAATATTGATATTGTAAAATTAACAAATCGATTGGGCTATTTATATATTTAATTTTCGATGCATATGAATATAAATAATGAGTTTGAATAAAATGAGTATTGATGTTAATTTGTACATGTAATAATGTTAATCATGACTCAATTGATATTAAGCTTAGTTCTTCTCCAGTGTCTTCTCTTTGAATTATATCTAAAAATTGCTATTTCAAATACCTGATTGTATTGTCAGTTCTATATCTGAACCAATTTGGTAATGGTCTATTTTATTTATTGGCTTTAATTAATCTTTTCTTCATTCTCAAGGATTTGTGTGCTCCCTATTAAACAATAAGTGTGAAGCTAATACCATTTTTAAATCTTTTTTAATTTATTTAATATATAAATCAAATAATCATTAATTCTGAGTCAGCAAAGATGCTAACTTATCTAATGATAAATTAGATCCTTAATGCTTTACGAATTCAAGTAACTAATCCTGAGGTTAATAGGGGAAAATTTAACTTAATTGTTTAGCCTTTTCTATCATGTCAGTTTCTTAGGTATTAGAATTCAAAAGCTTATGGTACCTTAATCGTTCATCAATGATTTCAATAAGTGTTTGTTTTAATTTTTCATCTTTTTTATAATCGTTGACTTATTTTTATTATTCTCTAGCCTTTAAGTTTTCAATTTCTTACTCTGTTTTCGGTTTAGTTGATTAGTAATTTGATTAATCCAAAATAATTGTGCTTTGATTTAGTAAATCGATAGAATTTTTAATTTGATTTTCATCCTTTTCATTTTCTAGAAGTAGCAATTTGATTGTTGGCCATCTCATTTATTTATACAGCTTCTTCAGGAATGTTAAACCAAAATCACAATTTATTTCTTCAATTTCAATTGGATGATCTAAGAATAAGTTTAAATCTCTACTAGGATTGATAATAGTAAATAAATGAACTTCTTTGAGTTGTGGATATATGGTCTTTATGGTTTCAACGATTTCTTAATAATTCTAGACCTTTGCTGGCAATTTGTGGACTTTCCTCTAATACACGAATTTTATATTAGACATTTACTTTATGTTTTATAAATATTTATTTTCATAAGTATTCTCTTAATCGAATATAGATTTTGATATTATCAAACACAATTAGTCTAATACTCCTTAGCATTCATATTAACTGCAAATGGAAAATGCAATAGATATTTAAAACATAATTATAATTTATAAATGAAATAAGTGTCTTCTACTACTGACTACTCAATTTTACGACAAATTTAAATTCACCATTCACATACCTAACCTAAAGAGTCCGACATCACTTTAGGACGAACTACCAGTTATGAGTCAAGTTAGTTCTGCAGGAATTTTAACATTATGGCTTTTAGGAGAGCTTCCACAAAAGAAGATATTAACAGTGCTATGCAAGGAAAGAACTAAGCATATGCTTAAGAAACCATTGCAATCAGCAATCTAAACTTCATCAAGTAATCTTAATTCCATTTACATTTAAGTCCATCCTCTTAAATTGAGATGAATCAATTATAGACCAAAGTGTGGAAATCTTTATAGAAATAGATGCTGGTATTGTATTTAATTATTATCAAGTAAAAAGTATATTCGATAGACATAATTGTATTATTGCAAAACTAAAATGAATACGAATTTAAATTTGACATAAGTAAACTTTCATGTTTTCTGATGGTCAAAGAGCTATCAAACCTAATTTCACAAGCGTATTGGGATAGAATTAATAAAACTAATTAAAAAAGGAAGTTTCTACATCCTTATTTATCTATCTTAGTGGGCAGAGTGAAAACGTAGAAACTCGATGGAAACATGAGACTATTTGAATTAATACACATATTGCTAAACGGGCAAAAGACACTTATTTTATAAGAATCACCTTAGCCACTTTGATTCAATCCATATTTGATAAAACAGTTTTTGTTTTTACTAAATTTATTATTATCTGTATATATGGACTGTTTTATTATAATGAGAATTTTTGTTAATGTATTAAATAAATTATTAAAAATCACGATATGTAATAATAATCTATTCACTAATAAAAAATAGTCGAATTTACTAATCAAGGTACCACTACATTTGAAATTTAGGTGAATATGTTTAATTAGAAGATTATATACGAGTAAATTAAACAGCATAAATGAATTTTTCATAAGCCTTAGTTGAATGCATCTATTATACTAGAGATAGTGAAGAACACTTATAATGCATTTAATAAATTTTAAAGTAAATATTTTCCAAAAATATCAAGATAATAAATTGATTTCAATTATAAGGATAATCAAGGAAACACTGCTTTGATCTAGGCAGCAAAAAGCGGCAAAATTAGCATATTAAATGAAATTATAAAATACAAAGAAAAGTTTGAGAAAAAATAATTTAAACTAGCACTTGATATCGCGATTTAATCAGAATAAGATAATTGGGATATTGTGGAAACATTGCTTCAACTCACCTCCCTTGAAAAGCCTTAACACTTAATCAAATCACTGCGTAAAGGCAATTTTAAAACGGCACAAAAGATAATTGAATAGTATGGGGCTTCTGGACAGGATGAAAATGGAGACACAGCGTTACATGTAGCATCTAGATTGGGCAATTTATAAATTATAAAAAGTATTTGTCAAAAAGAAAATCTCTATAAAAAAAAAAATTAACAACATCAAACACCATTAGATGTTGCTTACAATCAAGAAACAAGAAACTAACTTATTGAAGAAGAAATTCAATTTCAAAAATCCCCAAATAGAAAAAGAAAGTAAGAAGAATTAGTTGAAAATAATTAAAATTCGCAGAAGTCATCCAAATATGAGGATTGTTGTGAAATTTTTCATAAACCACCCAAAGTATTCAATGATCAAGCAATCCAAACAGAAAACAAAGAAAAGAAGGACTCGGAATCATAAATTCCAGAGCATAATTATATAAATCAACCATTTTATGATTAATTGATCTCTGAAACCATCGTTACTTTACCTTAACACAGAACTACCTTAGATGACATTGTTAAGTAACCATATTAGTAAATTTAGGTAATTATCTTTTGAAATCAATACCTTCTCTCAAGAGCTGAATAAATTATTGGAAGAATAAAGGCCAATTATTGACAAAATTGTGTAGATGGTTGATGAAGTATGATCTATTCTCATTCAATTATTAGATTGTTCAAACTGTATCTTCTAAATCTCGTGCCTTTTTATACGGTTCTTGCTATACGGGGTTAAATTTACTTGACTCTGATATTGATATTGTAATAGAAACAAATGAATAAGAAAGGATCTCTTTGTATAAAATTGCTGAATAATTCAAAGTATTATGGTATATAGTTTTAGATACAAGGCTTTATTAAGGATGTCAAAGTAATTGATAATGCAAGGAAGCCTGTTTTGAAAATGTAGTGTTCATAAGAATTTTAAAATAAATTGATTGATATCACAATAAGTAAAAACGATCATTCTGGCAGAAAGACTGCCAATTCAATGATAGAATTTTAAAAAGAATTTAAATAGTTTAAAAGTCTTGCTTTAATACTGAAGTTTTACTTTAAATCTATTAATCTTTTAAATGCATACTAAGTATCTTATTAATTTGTAATAAGGGTGGTTTGAATAGCTATTGCATTCTGACTATGATTTTAGCCTTACTATAAATTAAACGTGTACGTGATACTGATAATGAAGAGATTGGTAAGACCTTTTTAGACTTTTTCGATCTTTATAGTTAAGATATCGATTATTTTAATAAAATTATCAATATTGTTCCATCCCAATCAGAGAATATGTAAGTTGACGAACCTAACATTTACTAATAATAATTTCCTTAATTGTAAAGATTAATCTAATTTTAGTGATTAAGGATAATAAGAATTAGTTATTCTGGATTTGCATAATAAAGGCAATAATATTGCTAGTAGTACCTTCAAAATCAAGCACATAAAAGTACCTAATCATTATTTATCTTAAGAATGCTTTGTCTCTTGGGTATAGTGCTATTTTGAATTCTCAAAAATGTGAAGAGCCATGCTTTTTCTCAAGATACAATAAGCCTGTTTGTTGTATTCTAAAATAAATTATTTAACAATCAAAGAACCATCACTTAACAGGAGTATTTAAATCAAAATAGCCATTTTATTTCTTTAATTATAATAATACTTATTGACATGAGAGGAATGTGTAATGAATTTATTCTATTATGATGAATTTCAATATAATTTTACAATCATATTTGAATTATAATAACATATATTTTAAATGAAAGTTTAGATTAATTCATTAGCTCAAAAAAGTATAATAATTTAGCATTTATATTTTATAACTTATGCAACCCTTATATTAAAAGCATAAGAAGTGTGTTAATATAAAATTACATGAAAAATCATTTCATTTTATCCAATTAGTTTAAATATTTAATATGTTCTTTTTCCAGTCTTGCAATTTCATCATCAAAAGGATCCCTATTGATTCCTTAATTATTTACAGGTTTATTGGGCATACTCTTCATTGGAATATCATCTTTTTTTTTGGCCACTGGTTTTGGTATATTTCTGGCGAATTCAATCGCCTTTTGCCTAGATATATTTATAATAATACCTTGCATTAATTTCAGGAAGTTTGGTTTCTTTATTTTTGATAGTTATAATATTGGTTGAATTAAACAGCCTGACTTATTCTGCAAATTCTTATCTTTTGTGTAGCTTTTCCTTCTCTTTTGCCCATTCTTCTCCACTGATATTAGGCCCCAAACCTCCTAATTTAGCATTCGCTGTCTTTTTCATCATTTCAAAATCCTTGATGGTGTATGGTTTGTACCGTTACGAATCGTCAACTGATTGCTATTATTATTTTGCAGATTATGATCTTTGTTCATTCTTTTTTTGGGGTTCAGTGGCAGTTTGTCTTGCTTAGTAATTAGTGGAGGGTTGAAAATATTGTTATTGACTCAAATATTAGAGATGATCCTGAATTTATTATTCTTGGATATATGGATTATGTTAATATAAAATTTAATGATTTTGCTGATGGTTATATTGAATTTGATTAGGAAATGGTTGTACATTAACTTATTATTTCAGAGGTTATGGAATCTGAGGACATCTATTTTAATCTGATTTAAGATAAATATAATACATTCAAAGTCTTTTTTAATAGGTTATTAACAAGTATTGAGAACTGACTCCATTCCATTTCTTCCCATAACAGTAGTTTTGCCCTTAAACCTTTCTTAGAAAGTTGACATTATAAATAATTATTATAAGTATAATAATAAGCATTTTAAATTGAATTATTATAATAAGGTCGTTTTTATTTAAAGGAAATTTTGATCTAGCATAGTTTACTAAATAATTCTATTAGGTAAATCTTCAGAAGAAACTTTTATAATAGAAAAATAATTACTAATAATAATTATTTAAAAATATTACAATGTTAGACGCACAGAAAAAGGAACATATAAAGTAATTGATGGAGATTACAAATCGCTCTAAACTATTGATCATTTCGATTTTGATGTACTTTTAATGGGATAAGGAGAAGTCGATGGATTTTATTTTGAATGCAGGCGAATTTTTAAGTGAAGATTTAGTGCCTTAAAACAGGAGACAAGCAGCTGAAATTTTATTGAAGTAGGAGTAAGAGGAGGAGGAAGAAGAAGAATTATAAATGTAAGTTCAATCTCATGGCTCTATGGAGGGAGATTATTTATAATAAAATAAAGTATAGACTTAATCACAATTAAAGAGTTTCATTAAAAATCCAGAGGCAATAGAATAAATTGATAAATTTGATTGGATACAAACTAAAAATAAAAGAATAAATTAAATAAGGGACTTTCTACAATAGATAGAGAATTAAGAGTGGGAAAATATGACAATAATTAAAGAAAGACAATCCTTATTAAGAGATAGGAAAAATGAAGGTTAGAATGATAAATTGTAATTACGTATACATAAGTCTGCAATAGGAATAAAAAAAAATGAAGGGACTGGATTCTTCAATTGCATTTATTAGTTGCTTTTCTAAAATCCAGAATTAGTGGAATCGATTCTTAACATGCCTAATTTAATTAATAAGGATGATCAAAATGTAATATTTTTATCCTATTTAGAGCTAATATATAAATGAATTGCAATATTTATTTTGCTCTTTCATTTTTTCAAATGAAAGATTTGTTAAAGATTCTAACCTTTTAGTCGCTGCCAACAGACTGAACAAATTGATAATTATTGATGGTTAGATAAACTTTGCATAGCAACTTGAAAATCATATGGAAATTATTAATAAATGTTTATAGGATATAAATAAATAGAAATAAATTTCAATATTTGATAATTCATTTTAATCATTTGCAGGCACCAAAAAGGGTGGATAAAAATCGATTTACTTGAAATTCGAATAAGAGGATAGATTATTTCATTTATCTTTGTTGAAACAGATTGAAAATCTTTAAGCACTTTAATAATAATAACCTTTCAAAACCTATTGGGCCTTTTAAATAAACAGAAGGGATAAAGAATACCAAAATGGCCAGAATAATAATGTAGATTATTGGTTAAGTTAAAAAATAGATTTAGAAATTCTATTTCATTCAGCTAAAACAGATAAATTTATATAGATCTTTGAGAATAAGCTCAATGAGGAAACTATTAAAGAAATCAAAAAATGTATGATAATGATTGATAGTAGCATAACAAATTTATAACTCATTGCATGTTGCCAGTTCTATAATAAGTGAAAAGGGTGTCATATAGGAAGAAACACTTTAATAGTTAAAAGTTGATAAGTAGGATAAAGAGAAGTATTTATCAAAGTACTTACCGTTTAATATGAACTTAATCCCGAGAGAAGAGAACCAAAATTCGAAATATAGTTACTGTCTATAGGCAACAGTCATTGAAATAAAAGAGGAGAATGATCACTTATTTTACATATACATCTATAACTTCCATGAAGAATAATGGTATAGGATGTGTGATTTTCAAGTGTCTATTGTGAGTGAAGACCTAGTCTTAAATGATACTCGCAAGAACGGATGTTTTTTAGTCTATGTTCAATAGTAATAGATTTAAAAATTGAGAGGATATTAGCAGATAATATCTGAAATAGTCAGAAAGGTGACAATAAATCAAGGAGTCATATCAAGGGAAATTCTCCAAGGAAACCCACTTTTGAATGGATTAAATCCAAGTCATTTAGAAAGGATTCAAAATACTAATAGAGCAAATATAAAGCTACTTGATGATGAGTTGAATAGTGAATTTAATAATTGATACAAAAAAATAAATAAATAAATAAATAAATAATGCAATCTGTTCCAGATCAAATCATCATTGCTTGTAAAGAGATGGGCTATGGAGAAATGAATATTAGGAAGTGCTGGGATTTGGCAAAAGGAGATTAAGTTAAATTTGAGACGTATCTATGGGAAGGCTACGTGGAACCTCCTGTTTAAAAAGATGATAATCTTAATGTAAACATCACAAATTATCTAAAGAAGAACGGCTTGTTATAAACAAATTATTTTCAATAAATATAAAAAGACTCTCTTTAGGAGCATAAACTATACTAACGAACTTCGAGATTGAGAGGAAAAGACTAGTATGTTGGATTGGCTAATATAGGCAATACTTGTTCAATAAATTCGATCTTATAATATTGTCATCAAATCCCTTAGTTATTTAAACTTTCGATTGAGTGCTAGAATGGTGAAAAGGATGTAATTATTTCTATTAAACTAGATGTATCATAAATTCATCTTGAATATGCAAAGTTTATTCCTATAACTCATAGCTTCTAATTTAGAATATGTCAATCCATAATAAGCCTTAAATACCATGTGTTGGGATGCTCAAGAATAACAATACATCGGAGTTTAATAGGACATTGTAGAAATCTTTAATTTAATTTTAAACAAATTTGATAAATCGATTCGTAGATTACATCTATAGAATCTAATGGCTACCAATGTTTAAAGAGTGGAATTGTTCGGGAATCAACAAATGAATGAACTTTTTTAAATAGTTTTTATGAATGATAACAATCAGAAGGAATATCATCCTAATCTAGTTGCAACATTGAATCACAAGAATATTAGAACATTTTTATTAAAAGAATTCGCGAATAAAATCTTAGAGTTGCCTAAATTTTTAAGAATTTCTGTTAATAGAATTAATTTCAGAAATAGTAAAATAATATATTATTTTTAGGAGCAATTGTAAAGTCAAACGATGAATTCATTATAGACAACTTATTGAATCTTGAAATTTGCATGTACAATAATAACAATGCAAATAAAAAGGAATAAATCTCCATTTTACAAAATTAGATTAATGAGTTATAAAAAGATATCTAAAAATTTAGATAATAACACTCATGTCTTGTAGGTGTACTTAAAATATACGAAGATGAGGGTATATTTTGGGATCTTATAGTGTACTTAAAAAAAAAGATAGATGGACTTTTGAGTTAAATAAAAATCAAAGAGGAACAATATAAGTAACAATCATCGATTATTAATTAATAATAATCTTCAAGTAAATTTCAATATAGGATCCATTCAATTGTTGTTCATTTTGGATCTGCTTGGGAAGGACACAATTATATTTACATATATAACTTTTTCTTAGAAAAATGGATGAAATACAATGACATTAGTGTTAATTTAGTGTCAGAACACTAAGTACAAAACGATTCAAAAACATATGGCCAATTAGTTACTTATGTGGATCAAGAAATGATTCCTCAACTTAAAGCTCACTATTAGTTTATATAAAATGTTGGAAATACTGTTGTGTAGCAACCTAATAGAGATCTAACAAAAATGGCTGAACTAAGTTATATACCCTAAAACATACTTGCCTCTGTGACAGAGAAAAATCGACAGAACTTAGGCAATTAGTGTAGGTGATCAAAAAATTAGTTCTTGAATAATTATATATTTAACCAATTTAGTTCTAATAATCCAAAATTATATCCTATAGATTTATTTTTAGTATTAATCCTTGCTAAGTTAAGAATATTAAAGACGGACAAATTCTAGAAAAATGTTGAAATTATTCAAAGTAACACTCTATTGCAATTCATAATCACATACTAGTTATGTCCTCGTTTTGTGAAATAATAGGTTTTTAATTTTTCAAATGCTGAGTATATTTTTGGCTAGTTTAGTTAATAAATGGATTTTCTTGAATTTCGATTCATTCCCTCATTAGTAAGGATGCTCAAAAGGGTTGAATAATATGATCACTGAGATTTGAACATACTACAGTAATTAATTCAAAGCTGTTTATTAATTAAATATTATGAAGCAAGCTCCTAAGTTGAGTGATGCAAACAGCCCAAACAATAAACTCATTAATATTCTATTATCAAAATAAAAGAGTCCTTCATAATATACTATTTAGAGTCCTGCAGTATCTCCAACTTAAGCTCATATGCCTAAAGGTCAATACCAAAGCAAGAACACATCCATTGATTTGTCCAAATTGACCACTTTAATGAAACAATAGAAAGTGAAGTCCCCCTCGGAAGGACAGAAAGATTCAATGACTTAGCTCCTAGCAAAAGCTCGAGCAATTGCCACATCAGCAAAGACACCCACAGGACCAATTCATATTCGAAATGACTCAGCCAAGGTTCGTAAGGAGAACAAAGAGCCACAAGTCGTAAGTCCAAAGGTTTCAGATACAAAATAGATGGGGAAAGCGTCATTTACATTTGAATATGTAATTGGAATTGGTGGATTTGGGAAAGTATGGAAGGTCAAGAAAATTGGACAGTAATATGCAATGAAAGAGATGTCTAAAGCGTTGGTGATAACAAAGAAGAGCGTAAACTCAGTAATGAACGAACGTATGCTACTCAGTCAACTCAAGCATACATTCTTGATTAATATGTACTATGCATTTCAAGATCGAGAAAACTTGTACTTAGTGATGGATTACATGCGGGGAGGTGACCTGAGATTTCACATTGGAAGAATGAGACGATTCAATGAGGAACAGACTAGTATTAGTATTCAATCATAATAAGAGTTTTTTGTGGCCTCTATTTTTATTGGTCTTGAGTACTTACATACTAACAATATTATACACAGAGACATCAAACCTGAGAATCTGGTACTTGATGAAAAGGGTTTTGTTCATATTACTGATTTAGGTATTGCCAGAGTCATGAAACCTGAAAATTCAAGCGACACGAGTGGTACTCCTGGTTATATGGGTAATTTTTATTTCCTAATAGGCAATTAGCTCCTGAAGTGATGTGTAGATAGAACCATACTTATGCAGTAGATTACTATGCTTTAGGTGTTATCGCATATGAGTTTATGTTGGGGAGAGTATGATTTTCGATTTATTCAAATAGAGACCATATGTAGGTCGATCCAGATAGGAGATCCGTGATCAAATACTGGCCAGATAGGTGTAAATTAGAGCAAGTGAAGTACCTCCAAATTGGAGTGCAGAGGCTGTTGATTTTGTGAATCGTTTAATACAACGAAAACCAGCAAGTCGACTTGGTTTTAATGGGGGCTATGAAATTAAATTGCATCCATGGTTTAAGAATTTCCCATGGTCAAAATTATAAAACAGAGAAATTAACTGCACCATTCGTTCCAAATCCGAGTGATGATAATTTCGATTAACGACAAATAGTGATTGAGGATGAAGAGAATGCTGAATTGATCAGTTAGAATATGCAATTTTTAAGAGATCCCAATGTTCAGCATCAGTTTTGTTGGCTATGAATATTAAGCGCATAATAATGAGAAGGCCTTTGTCTTTGATTAATAAAAATAATGAAGCTATCACTCACATTATTTACACTTCTAATATCTATATATTGTGCTGTACATAGAGAATATTACGATATCTTGGGAGTCTCACAAAATGCTTCAGTTTAGGACATCAAGAAGGCCTATCGCAAACTATCCCAGCAATACCATCCAGATAGAAATCAAGGGGATCCAGATGCAAATGAAAAATTCTCGAAAATCAACGTGGGTATTTGGGATCATCTAATTTTAGCATACGAGGTACTATCAGACCCGGAATAGAGAAAAAAATATGATAAGGGAGGTGTTGATGGTCTCAATAGTCAGGGAATGTAGCATCATGATCCATTTGATATTTTCGGATCATTTTTTGGAAGAGAATAATAAGGAGAACGAAAGGGTCCAGAATTGAAGGTTAAGGTTAGAGTCACATTGGAGGATATTTACAATGGCAAAGAGATCCCAGTTTATTTGACTAAATAAATATTATGTCCACATTGTAGAGGATCTGGTGCTGATGACCCAGATCTAGTAGAAACATGTCCTACTTGTAAAGGTGTTGGAAGTGTATAGAAAAGACAATAAGTGGGTTTTGGATGTATGCTAATTTATTGACAATTTAAGTTTTTTAAACATTCCAAGCCACGTGTGAAAGATGTTATGGAACAGGAAAGATCATCAAAAAAAAATGCCATCTTTGTAAAGGTGATAAGGTAATAGAATATTAGTGATTCCTAGATCATTCCTGGAGCTGATAATATTAGTTTGTATATAGAAAAAGGAATTTAGGACAAACAAACTATTGTAATCATTTACATCGATATATTATATAGAAATATGAGAATATGGCTGATGAACGTAATGATTCTGGCACTTCTGATCTAATCTTTTAAATTGAATAAATACCTCATGCATTCTTTTAAAGACAAGGAACTGATTTAAGATGCAAAGTTGAAATTACTTTGAAGGAAGCCTTGCTTGGTTTCAAGAAGAAGATTAAACATCTTGATAATCATTTTGTGAGAATTGATAAGGAAGGCATTACAAAGCCTGGAGAAGTCTAAATTATAAAAGGGGAAGGAATGCCGCAACATGAGTTTTCATCTCAGCACGGAGATTTATATGTAGAATACAAAGTGGTAATTCCAGATTTCAATGGAGAATAACTTAGATGTAAATATAAATTATTATCACTTAGAATGGTAAAAGTTCTTTTAATGAATATAATATAAATGTATAAATTTACATGTTTTTGTTTATTTATGTGGCTTCATAGTAAGAGTTTCTCATCTATTTTGTTATAATAATAATAAATTAATGTATTCAAGTTATCAGATAGTCATTGAAAATGAGCCAGAATGTGTAAATTTGTAAGACATACCCATACTGTATGTGAATTCAATAGCCTTGTAATTTAAGGATGAATAGATGACGGAGTTTAAAGTCATCGAATTTGCATTGATAATACTTTCAATGTTGATTAGTATGATCTGTGGTGCACGTTACTTGATGTGAGCATGAAATTAGTTAATGTTAGAGTGTCGATGACTTACATGTGTTAGACAACAATCAGCATATTGGCACTCCTATCATTGATGTTAATGATATTGCCTTCAATCACTCTATGTTCTAAGACATTCAAGATGAGTTTGCACATGCAGAGAATAGCACAATTGTTATATTCATCGTTATTGACCTTGGGAGCTGTAATATTTTTTTTTTTCAAACTCAAACTTATCAAGAATGTAGACTGTAAGGGAAGGTAATAGTGGAAGAAATCAGAACATTGCCATTTCTATTAGAAATTCTTTGTTGTCTGATGAATCTGGCCTATGTAAGTTACTTGCATTATATTACTGTGTAATATTGCAACAAGGAGTAACCAATCAGAATGTAGATAGTGCAAAAGATTATGAACACAATAGTACCAATAATTTGATATTTTATTATATTTTATAAACATGGGATGTGTAATTGCATCAGAGAAAGTCTCAATGTAGAAAACCATGATGATGGAGTCAACATTCAATAAGGAATAAAGAGAAAAGGAGTAGAGGATCAAAGCACATCTTATTTTGGACGAATATCGCCAAACTAAAACTATTAGAAAGTAAATCAAATTGCAATCCGATGTCAAGGATGCCTTATAAGAGTAACTGACAAAGAATAAAACCGTAACTCCTCAAAAATCGTCAATAGCTAATTGAAATAATATATATATGTTTTCAATAATTTAATTAAGAAACTTCTTACTGCTTCATATCAGTTGTGAAGAATGCTTACCTCTTTATTCTAAACTCTTTCTTTTCTCTACATAAACAATGCTTTCTCGTCATCATAGTATAAACAATATAATATTTATGAATCCTAAGCATTAAGACTTCTTTTGAACTCATGCTTTGTCCGCTTATCAAACGCTTATTGGTGAAATCATTAACCACTTCATCCTTATGTACACCATCACTTAATTTAGTTTTTAAATATTCAGTAATCTTATAAAAGACACTCCAATAAATAAAACTAGTCGATTTTATAAAATAAATAATGCAAATAATTCCAAAACAGATCATCCTAATTATTCTGTATAGATTATTGTTTTGGTTCTTTTATGGACTTTTGTTCCATAATTAAAAGAGTTCCAAGTTAGACTTCCTCAATCCTCAAGCCATATTTGAAATATTTTTATAAATCAAAAATCAAAGATGTATTTATCACATCTCGCCCATATTACTTAGTTCAATTTTCACTAATCTTAGTTAAATTTTAAAATTCTATACCCTATATTTAATCTCTTAAAATCTTCTAAACCTCTTACTTAAAATTAACACGCATCATTCCTACTAAACTCTTTCTAAGGGACTCTTATTTCATAAACAGTTATTTATTTTAAATAATTCCATAATGGTATAATCTTATTTCTCAACTTAAAATTATAAAATTCTTTCAATTTTGATAGTATATATTAAACCCTTGTATAAACTATTTTATACCTCAATCATCACACTAATAACTATCCTCTTATTATCACATTTACTCCAATATATATATATATATTAATTTCATACTAATCGTAACCATTTATAATACATATAAGCTCTAATTTTTATCTCTCATTATTCCAATATAAAGATAATTTTAAGATTGACTTAGTTTCTTAGACTATCAAACAAATGAAAATTTTACGTACAAATATAAAATTGAAATTTAAAATAGGATGGTAAATTTTAAATATGATGAATTATCGTATGATCAACTATCCTAAAATTTAATACCAACCTAAATAAATAAATTTAAATGGATTTAGAAGACAACGACTTCTTGGCAGATGGTGACAATCGCAATGTGAGATCTCGGAATAAGAACAATAATAATAAGAGAAACAATAAAGTAGAGACATTGCAAAGAGATCAATAAAAATAAAAAAGACAGGAATAATAGCATAAAGATGAAGATTGGTCAGATGAGGAAGAGAAGAAAAACAATGCCAAGAGGTTGGAACAATAGGAAAAGAAGTTAAAGCAAGTCTAGAAGCAATTAGATTATAAGAAAGATGAGGAAGAGATGTAACCAAAATTAAAGGGCAAAGAAAAAAGACAAGCTCATGTACACGATCTATGATCATTATTTTAATAATATCAATTCCTTAATTTACTTTACAATGCCTTAAACTGCCAGACCATGTTCTTCCTACTCTATCAATTGCTATAGAATAGTATTCCTAAACAAGTCTTTAATTTTGATTGAATCAGACTCTAATAGATAGTATAGTATCTGTAGCAGATGTTTGAGGTTCAATTGACTTTAATCCTTCTATATTAGGAGTTCTAAAAGTTACTTCCGAAATAATAGACTAAGTCCAAATTCTTTGGGTAATACTTTAACTAATGTTGGGTACATGGGAACAGTGTTATTTTTAAAATAAGCCACTAGAATGTCAATATTTTTGCTAAGAGGGATGCGTTGAGTTTAATCAAGTTCTATTAGTTTAACAATTGTATCAAGTAACTTTGTAATATTTAAATTAGTTGTTAGTAATCCAACATAAATGCTAATACCCCCATTTTCTTGTAGTTTTAATTTGCATCTTTCTGAAGATGTGGCTAATGAGCATAATATGCTGATAGCTGCCTTTTTCATTGAGATTTGGTTTTCTAAATCACTTGGTAATTTAAATAGTTCCAGCAATAAAGGAACACCTTCATAAAGACACAATTCTTCTTATTTATCATGATTGAGTTTTGTAAGATAAAATATAATTCTTAGAATATCTGCAATCATTGGTCCTTAATTTGGTAAGTCTTTCTTTAAAAGACTCAAGGCTCTTGGTATGATAGCAAATCCATCTAAATGTGGTTACAGATTAGGTTCAGTGGAAAGATATCTAAATATTTTAATGGTCTTTATGAGTGATTATTCTTAGTTTTAATTAAGAAAAGTGGCTAATCTAGTGATGACTTCCTTTTCACAAAGTGATTACTTAACAATTTTATCATCACATTTGGCCAATATCACTAGAATATTCAATGATTTAATCATTAAATTAACATCTATATTTTGAATTTGTTCAGCAATAAGTACAAGTCTATAAGTGATGAATTTGCTTGTTAGAAGTCTACTCAGATTTCTTTAACTTATAGTATTAAGATCGTAGAGTAGGATTATGGTATCTAATGCTAAGCCAATTAAATCGATGTTGTTGGAGATATCTGATGTGTCAATTAATTCTAAGAGGTTATCCAATCCTCCTATGGAGAGAAGGTATCCTTCTTTAAAGTAGGTTAACTATCCCAAAAAGTAAGCGGCTTCAACTCTTAGTTCTTTATGAAATTCTGAGGAAGTGATTTATTGATAAAATGTTGCTGCTCCCAAATAACATGATAATTCTAATAATTAAGGATTCTAATCTACAACAATATTTATTAATTCAAATATCAATTTTAAAATTTATAATGATTAATCTTATGAATTATTTTCACAATATAGTGGCATATATTTCTCTATAATTTCCAATAATGATGTTAAACCAGTATGAATGAAATATTCTTTACATTTATCATTGGGAATAGTATCCTTTAACTACTCTAAAATTTTAATAATCTAAGAATTATCACTTTGTTCTGTTAATTAAGTAATAAGTTCGTTAATTTCTCTCATGCTTTTGCCATCTTCATTCTAGCCCCAAAATCCGTTTTATTTAATTTGATGACTAGTCCTTAATTTAAGTTATCTAAGTGAATCCAATTAAGAATCTCTTACAGCACTGCTTTTATCAATTTTTCTTGGTGATTAACATTGCACTAATTATGGTACCTACTCAATGAATGAGTCTGTAATAAATGTTCCAAAGCTTGGATTGATCTACTATGTGATTTCGTATAGTGTTTGTTACTTCTTCAGGTAGATTGGGTCCTTGAACAATATGCCAACTTTTAGTGATCCATTGATGTTTGAGCATAGTAGTGGCATCATCCCTTAAAGTGGGATCCTTTTGGAAACATTGGATTAGAAAGTCTCTGCATTCATTTGAGATTCCTTCAGGCAAGGGAGGACAATCCCTTTGAACAATTTAAAACATTGCAGCATATTATAATCTATCGAAGTAGGGGGGATTGCCTGTCAATAACTCTATGACTGTGCATCCAAGTGACCATATATCACATGATGTAGATAGATGTCCTGACATTTCTATTACTTCAGGTGCCATCCAATATGGAGTACCAACTATGTTATTACTTTGTGTCGTATCTTCAGACAAAGTTGTGGCCACTCCAAAGTCTGCCAATTTAACAGTACTTTATTATCTCATGATTAAAATTACCCATCTTTGGTAGTCAAAATATTGGCACCCTTTATGTCTCTATGGACAATTCCTTATTAATGCAAATACTCCAAGCCTTTCAATACTTGTTTAACATAAATGGCTACCAAAGACTCTGGAAATGATCCAAACTTCTTTAGAATGCTTGCCAAACTGCCACTTTCGATGTATTCAAGAATGATATTCAGAAATTGATCAGTCTCTATACAATCAATGTATTTGACAATATTTTCATGTTTCAACATCTTCAATAGATAGATTTCTTGTTGTAAAAATTATATACTGATCTTCTTTCAGTGTGGCTCTTGACACTTGCTTTATTGCCACAAGTGTTCCCTCTATTATTGTGTGTTTATTACTAATTCCAAATTCAATCCTTTGTACACAGTACCAATCGAACCTCTACCTAGCAAATCGCCTAGCTAGTAATTACCGATCTTCTTCATCTATCTAGACAATTGAGACATTTAATATTATTTAATATATATATATAGAAGTGATTGTAAAGAAGCGTGCAGATACAAGATGCATGTAAGCTATCTTATATTGAATAATGCCATTACATTAATGTGGCAAAAGTAAAAAGGGACACAAATATTGTAGATTGTGTGTCCAGAGTGTTATTTGCCATAAATTAATTTAATTAATGAATTTAATCCCTAACGAGCGTCGGGCTATAGAGCAGTTAAGAGAGGTCAGTGAATTAGAACCTACTCTGTTGAATTGGGGGAAAGAAATAAGACTCTTCAATAGGAATCCCAACAGAAAACGAAAGTCAACCACCAGAGATGGGGAACTGAGATCGCGTTTGCCTCAATTGAACAAGGTTCCTTTGAGAATGCCCCTTCAAGAAATCTCATTGAATAAAGAGATTTCTACTCCGAATTAATCGTATTTGCCTCCCTTGATCAAACCAGTCAAACCGCATACTGCAAAACCTAATTATAATGGCATCGTCCTTGGTGTCAACTTTGCACACTTCGAAAGACGGATATTAAGTAAAATCAATTAACCATGAATTATATACTAAATTATGCATTATAAATCTACACTATAATTTAAAAAATTAAACATAAAAATGCAGCCACAATAATTCTTGGATTTGGTGTAATGTGCGTTCTTCGAGAGCAGCACACAACGAAGTTCAGCAGAGTAAGTACTGCTCAAATACAAGGATGAATGTCCTGATGAATTCATGATCTACTGTGCTTCAGCATTCTCTAATCGCGGCATTTAGAATCGCATTAGAGTTGCCTGCAGTACATTGGTAAAACGACTTGTGGGATTGATTGTAATAATCCAATAGTATAATAGCATCCTCCATCTAATTAAATTATTTGGTTGGCGTGTTCTTTATAAACTAAGAGTGATGTGAAATTGAAGTTCATGAAATAATTGATTGACCCTGAAAATGAAATTAGAAGATCAGCAGCCAACGTGAGCCTATTAAACTATCTATTAGACTATTAGTGAAATATCTGCCATAGAATTACCAAGACAAGAATGGCCAGATCTAATTGAACGATTGACAACAAACTCAAAGCACACGGACATTCTAATTAAGGTGTCAGCCATCATGACACTGGGTTACATTTGCGAAGCATTAGTATGAATCATAATCATCTAGAAAACTCATCAATCTTCTGGAATTTCTGAGAAAGACTCAAAGGTCATCTTAATGGGAATTTGTGTAGGAATGGATTTAAACGAATAGACTTTAGAAATTAGATTGACTGCAATCAAAGCCTTACAGGATTCATTATATTTTATGAACGACATGTTTAAATATTAAGTATTTGCACTCACATTTTATTTAGGAAATCTTTTCTTTTGTGAAAAATTTGATATTCAAAAATGCTGTATGCAACATTCAAGAAATTAAACACAGAGCACTTCAATGTTTAATTGATTTTGTTAAACAACTCTTCACATTTTTACCTGTGTTCATAAATGAATTATTTTAAACAACTTAGGCTTCATTTGAAAATCAAGGAGAAATTTCAATAGCAGCAATTGAAATATGGAATACTATTTGTGCAGAAATGAAAGAAGAAATCACATAGAATGGCAATCAAAAGACACCAGAAAGTAATGCAGTAGACTGTTGTGTGTAATTCTTTAAGTAGAATTATGAAGGATTCTTATTGCCATTCATGAGAAATCTCTTATTGGATAGTGGAGATGTGGATGATGAATATCAAGGTTTGTCAGTCCCTGATTCATCTTGCAAAGGATTAGCATTTATAATTGAGTTTGCTGGAGTGAACACTTATGATTTAGTCAAAAATTTCATTTAGAATACAATCACACAATAATAATGGGAATACAGAAAGGCAAGTGTTATGGCATTTGGTGCCTTGGCTGAAGTCCAAACAAAAGAAATTGAAATGCTCATTAAAACTGCTTTGAGTAGTCTTTTCACTTGTTTGGTTGATTAACATTACAAAGTCAAAAAGGCTACAGCTCAAACATTGAGTCGAGTGGCTGAGAATTATCCATAATGTTTCCATGAACATGATTAAGCTAATCAAATGTTGGCAACCTTGTTGGATTAATTGAATAACAAAATATCAATTGTTCAACATTTGATTTGGGTATTCGTCTATCTCACAGAATAATTGCAGCAATTTAGCATGAGCATATTCAGTAGAGAGAAATCTAAAATATTGTAACATTTGGCAAGCACATCAGTAAGAGCAGATATCAAGAATTCAGAAATAGCATTAATAGATACAGCTTTCATGGCTATTCTCAATATTATTTATAGTGTTACTGATACAAAATTATGTAATGACTATTTGATCCAATTCTTTTAACAGATATAACTATTAGAGAGTGGTTCATAAGTACCTGTTGAAATTAAATTTCATTTAGAGATGGGTTTGATGAGTGCTATGCATGGTTGTGTTGTAAGATTGGATGACTCCACAACTCCTGAATCTGTCTTTGAATCAATCATGAAAACTCTATCAAATGTAGACTCAAGAGTGAAGAACGACTATTTTTATGTACTCTCAGGAATAGCATATGCTTTTAAAAAGAAATTATCTAAATATTCATCTTAGTTAATAGCAGAATTGAATAAACCACTTTCTGAACCAGATGATATGGATAGCTTTAAGACAGCGTTGTTTTGTTTAGCAGATATTGCAAGAGCTATGGAGGAAGAGTTTGTACCTTATATGAACATTTTAAAATATTTCTTTGGTTTGATTTAGGTATAAAAAGTATATTAAAATTAGAATCCAAATTTCAATAGGGAATTAAAGTTGCAAGTATACAATGCTATTGCGGATATAATATTGGGATTGAAGGAGAAATCTTTCCAATTTTTGGGTGATCTGAAAGAAATTCTGAAATTAGGATTTGCTGCTAGTATGGATTTGACCAAGAGTTAATAGAATGTCGATTAGGATTATGCAGAAAGACTGAAAGAAACGATGACTTCATTTTACACTTGTATTTTACATGCTTATTGTGAACCTAATGTGCCTAACTTTGATTTAAGGGATACAGTAGATTGGTTCATAATATTTTGTACTGAGATGTGCAGTCTAAAATTAAAGCCTACAATTGTATAGACATATAAATTAAATGATAGGAATATGTTAGATTGACTTTGTGTTGTATATTTGATTGTTCGCATTTCTTTTAGACAGTGCCAGAGACTAAAATAAGGTTGAAAGACTTCATTACAAGTGATTTTGTGATTGAATTGATTAGGAAGATGAGTTAATTCAATGACAAGGATTATCAAGAATGTGTGTCATTTGCCAAATAGTTACTAAATGACGTTTATGGATTTTAATTGAAATTGTATTGAATTTAAATTATTTTTAATATATTAATGGGTAATGTATGTGAACCAAGAGAAGAACTTGAGTGGAATGATAGAACTATTTAACTTCAAAGGCGTCTTGAACCAAGAATGTCTATATCGAGTCCTTATTATGCAAAACTGAAACAAATAGAATCTACATAAAATTGTTAGTCTCAATCAGCTCAAGAAAAACAAATTCTCAATCTAGTAGATATTCGTTAATAAATTGTGTAAGAAATGCTTAATCATGTGGAAACTTGTGGTCATTAAGAATTAGTATCAGCATAAATAATGACTGAAACTCACAATTTCTCATCCTTTAATTGGATCAATGATTCGAATAGTCATTATGAAAGTTGGAATCCCCAAGATTGTCACACCCTCCAAGAAACTACTTGTGAAAGAGGAATCCATTTGAATGAGTGTATGCGTTTATGTTGTCTAAATTTGGAAGCATTTAAATATACAGAATAAGGTAGTGATTATATTTATGTTGCTTTTATTATGAAATATTGATTCTACAATCATCATTATTTCTTTGAATTTGGAAAATACCATTCCTTGCCAGGTGTGTATCCCAAAGTAGAATACAACTCTTTACGTGTTTACATACTATATTTACAATATTTAATTTATTTACTTTTAAACTGAATTCACCTAAGACTCATCCTTCTTCAATTGCTTCAAAAATTCATCAATAGCCTTACTAGCAATTCTTAATGTGGAAACAGGATAGATAACACAATTATAACCCATCTACTCAAATTCCTTTAATGAGATGTATGGAGTCTTTCCAAACTCTGTCATATTAGCCAATAAATAAATATTTGGGTTCTTGGCCTTCAATTCTTTAGCTACAATAGCCATTTCTTCTTTTGTGTGTAATCCTTCAGGGAATATCATGTCAGCTCCTGCCTCCATATATGCCTTGCTTCTTTTGATACATTCATCTAATCCATGTGTTCCTCTAGCATCAGTACGTGCTATATTGGAGTTACGAGATATAATTTACCACAAATGACAAACTCTCCTCCACTGCATTAGATACTTGCATTTTTGGCTATTTATATCTTCTTCTCCATAACATCAGATGGAACCAATTCCTTTCCATCCAAATGTCCACATCGTTTTGGGAACACCTAATCCTCAATATGTAGACCTGAAGCTCCATGTATGAAATATTCCCATACTGTTTTAGAACACATTTCTCCTTCTCCGAATCCTGTGTCTGCATCAGCTAGAATTGGTAATCCTGAAGCAAGAGCCACATCCTTGATTGTCTTACAGAATCCATCCAAAGTTACCATGCTTAAAGACTTAACTCTAAATTGTACCCAATATCTGGGACTCCACTGGATGCAGTCACAGCAGCCCCTGAAATGTACAGGGCTTCAAAACCATTATCTGCACATTGTCTACCAACCATACCATTGTATGCTCCTGGCATCATTAGGCATTTCTAAGATAAAAGCTTTCTAAACAATGAGCAATTTTATTTAAATAACATAATAATTTATTAATACAAAAGCATTACCGCTTATAAATTCTAAAATAAATTACCTTATAATTCTCTTATCAAAATTCTTCTTAATGAGCTGTTCATTGTAATAAATTAAATCTAATTCAATAGAATTTTCGATCTCCATTAAGTTCATAAGTGCTTTCTATACAAAACTATGTTTTTATGAATAAAAAATACTCAAATTCAGCATTTATGATGATAAGCAAGATTGAGTCTATAGCCCTAGATTTATTATAGTAAGTAGTCTACTATCTTCCTTGAAATGATTAGACTCCTATTTTCATATTTGTAAGTCGATATATGAATTATTTCAATGGTGCATCATCAGAATGACTTCAATAATTAATTTATTATTATGGGATGTTCAGAATCTACGCATTATAAGTCTTCTCTATAAATGAGCCGAGACTCTACTCTAGACACGTGTAGAACATCTCCAAATAAAACTAAACCAAAGGAAGATTTCCTAGATTCATACAACTTTGAGGATTTTGATACATCTGAATTAAACATTGATCAATCATGTTTTCATTTCTATGATATTATTCTCCAAAGAGTTGTTACAGTCCCAAAATTGAAGTCAATAAGTATGTCAACCATTATTTCAAGAAGAAGAGATTAAATTTGATATTCTTTCTCATTTTTGTACTAACAAATTTTAGACTTATAACATAATCCATATTAAGCATTCTCTTAAAAATCGTTAAAATTGACTATATATTAATCGCCCATACGTAACCAGAAGAAGAACAATCAATTAAAAAACGATTTAATGCTCAATTACAATTATTATTCGATATCTTGATACCAGTTTTTAAAATTAATTTAACAAATTTGATCTCACTTAACACTTGTCGATTAAGTCAATGTTTATAATCTAAATTCTATTTTCTCTTTTAGCTTAATCATTTCGAATATATCAAATATGATTCAATACATTTATTGGTCCATTAAAAATGATCATATTTTTCAAATTTTTTCTTAAACAATTAAATCATGACGATTAATAATTTTTTAATTCTCAATTACAAAAACCCTGTTGATAACATACAAGTGCAAAATGTCATTAGGATAATTTACTTATATGTTTTCCACAATAAATAGCTTAAAGAATTTTAGATACAAAAGAAAATTAACAGATGATGAAATAAATTGTTTTGATTGAATGAATCTATTTAGAAAACAAGAAATAATATTATTTTATTGATTATTTGTTTTTTATTATTTGCCCTGAGACTACAAGTCTACAAAGATTTAATAATTTAGAAAAATCAACTCTGTTTAGTAAGATTAAATTAATAAGATTTCCAATCATAATAGAGTATGTGTTAAAAGGGAGCAAAAGATCAATTGATTAAAATATGTTTAAAAATGATGCATATTTGATCTTTATAATTCCTCAAAGGATATTGATGTTATAATTTATTTATGCTTAACTTTTTAATAAGTTTTGCTTACCTATTAATTCTAAATTATACGAATTAGTTATCTTTTGAATAATGAATATAAAAACAGACTTTAAAAAGTAAAGAAGTATATCATATATTATAGAATTCATTAATTTTTCAAGTTAAAAAATGTTGGATTTACCCATTTCAAGTTAGGGCTGGATGAAATGAGTTTCTTAGTTTATTTGGATATAGAGAGGGCTGGTTCATTATTACTAAATTTGCAAAGGACTATATCCATATTGAATCTGACTTTTTTCTTAGGGTATATATTATTTGTGGAATTATGATAATTGAATTTAGCTGTTTATAATTCATCTTTTGGTAATGATTTCGATGAGTAATCATCTAAACATTCCAGATCCTCGTTAGACTTATTCTTATATTCTGAAATTGGGATTTCAAAAATATTTTTGGGACCAATCATTTGAATATGATTTATTTTTTTTATATTTCCAAAATTCTTCTTAGCCATATATTTGATAATACTGAAACTCTTTAAAGTATTTAAATATTTAAAAACCACAAATTTAATAATATATAAAAAAAGAGTGGTATCTATGAAGTCATCACTAATATTTAATTGCTCTTTTTGAAACATTAATTTAATGGTTGAAATAAAAAAATAAAATACATAATTCTTATTAGATTAAACTATCTTTACTGAGGTGACTTAAAGTAATTAAATTTAATGATGAAATTTGATGAAACACAATTTGAGAAAAAAAGTGGGTTATGGATCAGAGTAAAATAATTTTGTAGGCTCAAATTAATGGCTGAAGAGATTTTGGTTAATTATAAATCAATAGCCAAAATCTCAGTATTAATTGAGAGGCTTTGAATAAAAAATTAATTAATACTTATATCCTTATAGTAGATCTTTCTTAGAAGTTATAAGAATATTGATATAAATGCTTTTAATTGATAAGTATATTAATGCGATTATGAATGTATGTAAAGCGTAGGAATAATAACTACAAGTTTGGATTCTAAGAAGAGAATATAATCTCTTAAAAAATATGTTTGATAAGTATATTTTGATGGAAATATGGAAATAGTAATCTTTGCATATAAATGAAAATTTGAAATTAAATTAATTCAACTTCATGGTATAAATCGAATACTAGAAAAAAAAAAAATTTAACAATAAAAACCTGTAAAAAATGTATTATCTGGTGGATAGATGAATGGATTAGTTGTGATTTTGACTATTATCATGAGTTTTTTAATAATTGAAGGATTATAATATTCATTATGAATGATAGGGTAAGTGTTATCTTTAATTATTCTCTATTGATTGGGAAGATCTAGGGAACCCTTCTTCCTAAAGTATATTGTTAATTGGCTGTTTTCGTACACTTTCAATTCTTTTGATGATTGTTTCTCCATATGCTTCCAATTATGTTTCTGCTTGTTTTTCACTATTTGTAATATCCTTAAATGGAGATCTCTCTTTATGTTGAATTAACACTTTATTCATCTCACTTTCCAAATTGTTAAATTCTTGTTCATCTATTTTCACTTCATATTATATAAATAGATTTTTTAAGTGTAATATTAAATTGTCCATTTTAAATTAATTATTGAATTATTAGTTTATAATTAAAATATTAAAATAATTATAAACTCATACTCTTAATGAGTTTCAAAACAGGTGATGAAAGACATGATTTTTAAGTTAAATGTCCTTATAATCCATCACATCAGATGCCCAATTCTAAACTATTCTATCATATCTCTTAAGGATGTTAAGATAAAGCAAGATTAGAACATCTATATGAGCATTGTCCATATAATTTTATGCACGTCATTCTCAAAGCAAACATGGATGCTCATCTTAGACAATGTGCAAATTTGAATAAGAATACAGAAGAAGGCAATTTAATGGAAGAAATGCAGAAAGTGATAAAGGAATAGAAAAAAGAACAAAGAAAAGCACAATAATAATAAAAATAACAATAATAACAAAATACTTAAATACCAGGAGTTATTGTACCTGAATATACTAAGAAGAAAAAAAGAGTTAGAAATAAAAAAAAGAAAGAAGAGCCTAAAACTGAAAATAAGGATGGGATGCCAGTTTGGGGAGAGAGTTCAGATGATGAAAAAAATGAAGTTCAAGATGTAATTGAATAATTTGCTCAAACATAAGTTACAGAATAAAAGCAGCAAGACTCAGATGATGAATGGGATGAGGTTCCAATTAAATAAAAAGGAAGGAATGGAAAAACAAGGGAGAAAGAATGATTTTATAATTAGTAAGATTTTAAATTTATTTAAAATATTCCATATCATAAATTAGTGAATCTAATCAATACTCTTAAAGGAGCATATCTACGTATTAATCAAATTCCTTGTTAATGCCCTTTTCATTGATATATTTAATCAAATCTTCTCTCTTTTTTTAAGGGAATAAGTCTTAAAGCTACTTTACAATATGATCTATGTCAGATGCTTATACTCTTATTGAAATTGGATCTGATAACTTTTGCATTTAATACTTTTTGTTTTCACAAATTATCTAATACAAATTGATATAGTTATTACATAAAATTTATAGACTCTTTCCTTTTCATCTTCAAAATGTTCAGGTATGTAAGGTAAATCTATAGTGACACTTATGCATTCACCACATGAAACATTATTAATTTAGTAATGGATTCCTAATTCTGCATTTGTTAAAGCTGCGTTCAGCCATTAACTTTTTCCACTATTCTACATTGTAATTTATGTGGTCATCTTTTTTCCATTAATACCTATCAATAGTGGAATCTTAGATGTCAAAGTGAAATTGTATTCTTAATCCTTATTTATCAATCCCAAGTCTCTAATTCTTTTATCTACAATATCAGCAATAAATTGTTTAAGTTATAAATTTTATCTAAAGTCAACCTAGTTAGTATTTTGTGCATTGTCCTATTAGTGTACTTGGACTTAAGTACTACAAATTATCTTTAAATAAATACCCCTAATGTCCAGATGAGGGAGCAATTTATTATGATTAGTCTATTTGAATTGGTTGAGACAATGTACAAGCATCACGACTTTGCTTCTCTACTATTGCCATACTTTAATTCAAAAGTCCCCAAGAATCTTTCAAAATTGATTTATAATCCTATGTTTCTGTTACTAGCAATTTGATTGATGGCCATTAATTCCTTATATAGAGTGTTTTTAACTAACAGAATTCTGTATCAGTCCTTATCTCTGCAACTAAATCAGTCTCATCTTATGCTATTCATTTAAATTATTACCTGGATTTATAATTGCATACAAATATACTGTATTAAGTTAGTTATAAATTGACTTTATTGTCTCTATAACACTTTGAAGATTAGTGGCATTTTTTTGAGGTATTTTATGTACCTTTTTTGAGTACACAAACTTTATATTAGACATTTCTTTTATAATTTAATATTATACTTAAATTTCCATATGTGCCACTATAAATATCGAATATTTTTATATGGATTATATGTATAATTTATAGTATTTTAATTTATAATAATCAGAATTCGAAAGGAATAGGGATGATGTATAAACCACATCTATTAAAAGTATAAACATAATTCATTTTTACTTGTGTTAAAAATCAGTTCATTTTTAAATTCTGTTTGAAAATAAAAAATAAAAATTTGATAGAATATTTCATTAGATCACGTTATTATCTTTGATATATCCAAAATAAAATTGGGGCATGATTACATTTGTGAATGGTGAGAGAATTTCGTCATTTAATTCAAGATAAATACCTAAAGATTTAAATAAGATTTAATACAAAATTATTCTGCATTGACTTCCTTGCAAATAAGTTGCAATTAATACTTAATTTTGATAGTATAATAATTTAGCTTACGAATATTGAATTTTCCCTGCAGTCTAATTCTATTCGATTTAGTTTCCAAAGTCTCGCCTTTAATAATGACTAATTCACTAGTTTAGCAATAGTATTTAAAACAAAATTTGGACTGACCAGTGAAATTTTAGTGTTAGGATTACAAAACTTTTTTATTTTGGTTATGGATTTATTTAAACATATTGTTTTACAATTAAATTCTGCCCTCCATATTTTTATCATCAAATCTTGAAATTAAATTTTATTAGCTAACCCATGGAATTGTATTTTATCAAATACTATATTCCCTTTATAATCCTAATAAAAACAATTGATAATCTTAGATACTAATAACAAACTTTCTAAATTTCTTAATTTTAGAAATATAATTTTGACAATCTTGTCTAAATTAGAATTGTAGGTTAATTTCCAAAAAAGATAGAAAAATCAATTTACATTAATTATTTTTAAATTTAACACATAACTTATGAAATAAAAATTGTTCCAAAGAACCATTTTCTACTTTACCTACTCTTAAAAAATTAAGAACCTATTCATTTGATGAATTGTTTGTGAAAATGTTGATGTGACATTTTAGTATTAAAATTTTTCAATTTAACAATTTATTAATATAAATTTTGAATCATTTAGAATCGACTTTAAACTTTTTTCCATCTCTAATCAACCTGAGTTAAGAGGAATTATGATCTTATTGCTTTATGATATAAATAGACAATTAGAAGCAATGATAAATTGGATCCTATGGCCAATAAGATCGATGTGAATTCAACACTTTCACTATTCTAGATTAAGTGTAGTAATCTCAAAAAGTACAAAACAATAAGGGACAAAGTTGAATCTATAAACTCAGATCCTATGATATTTATTACATTTATCATCATTTAATGAGCTCCTCTAAAATACATAGTTGGAACATATGAGTGGGGATCAAAAAAGAGTATATAAATTGTATAAGAAATGTTGATAAACATGATTAACGCTGGCTAATGATATTCTTTTTTAATATTAAAGAGTTTTGTAACAGCACTGCTTCCTACCATTCCAATTATTGGGTAAACTACTGAATAATTTTAAAGGATTAAGGCTATAGCAAGTTTAATACTCTAGAAAACAATAAAAAACGACATAAATATTTTTATATGAGTTTTTCTTTTAGGAATTTGTTGTTCTAATTAATATTTCTGTTCAATTGACTAATCTAAAAATTTCAACCTTATTTTATGCATTCAATTATATATATTTAAAAATTATTAGATCGATTACATAATAATTAAAATAATCAACCAAAAAAGAAATTCAATTTTATAATTATTAATTTTAATATCATAGAAATTTTTTCATAAGGAAATTTTCTATTTTGTTAATTTTTCTAGATTTGTTTTTAAACACTGTTGGTTCACTTCTTCCAATTTTATAATCTATTTTATTCTCTTAGCAAATCCACCGTCTATTGACTCTCCTAGTTTTTTATGCAATTAATGTGACTAATTATATAACATATCCAGATTAACTTCATAAATTGATTATAATGATTGATCATCTGAATATTATGATACTTCATTTTAGCCCTGTTCTGGTGCTGAATCTCTTTTCATTTTATTTAACTGGTACTTTCTTTATTCTATTTAAATTTCCAGTTGAGCATTAATTTCTTATTCTTTTTTACTTTCAATCATTGTGTGGAACTTATCAGAGATCTATTTAAGTTAAGGATTTGATGTATAAATCTTTTTGTTATGAATGTAATCATATAGTTTGAGATCAAACATAGTAATAAGTCCATGGGCATTTCTAGGGTTTTTATCTTGTTTGGCTCTTTTAGTAAATAGGAAGAAAGGTTTCTTTGCAATTACATAATCTTTGAGATTCTTGTAGTCTATTCCAGTTTATGATACATTAATTTTTTCACTTGGATTCCTTTTTGGAGATGCAATAGTTACATCAATTTACCAATCAAGAGGTTATGATTTGTTATTATTATGTCTATTACTGCTAAATCGAATATTTTGTGATTCTAACAATTTTCTCACTTATTTCAGAGCATCTTCAAATCTTTTCTATTTCTACTGTTCAACTTCCTGCAGATACTCTTTGCTTTATTAATTCATCGTATCTTTTAGTATAGCAATAGATGGATAACTATATTTATCGAAGTGTTTGCCTTAGTGTTTTACATAAGGTTGAACATTGTCATAATTCACATAGATCTATTTAAGTTTTTTGGAGCCTGGCACACTCTTCTTAAAGTAATGAGAATCCTCTTCTAATTATTCTTATTATTATTGATGTTTGAGACGATATTCATTGGAAATATCATAGAAGGTTTTAATAAAATGAATATTCTTAATTTCTTCCAATCTTTACTGTTGATTTGCCTTTTTTCTTAATTCAATCTAAAAATAGAAATATAAATTATTATTACTCTTTCCTAGATAAAAGCTCTTAAAACTTGAATTTTTGTTTAAGTCTATTCATGTAATTGTTATTAAATTTACTGAGCTTCTGTGAATTTCCCCTCATTCATTAAATGCTGCTATTTCATTTGCATTGTATGTATTGAATTATCATAGATAGGTACACTATGGTGATTTCGAAAGTTTCGCAACTTCTGGACATGATGTTTGATATTTGTTTAGTCTGGGCTTATTTCTTACTCTTGTCCAAGTATATAATTACTTTCAATCCTGGGAAATTGATAGAATTCATCATCTCTTACACACTTTATTCTCCTTCGAGATACTTAAATAATTCCAACTTAAATCTTTGAGTTGTACAAGGAATGAGAAGAGGATTCTCTTGAACCAACGGATCTTGAAGATGCTAACATAATTATTTTCATTCTTTTACATTCATAGTCTTCTCTCTCTGATGTTTCTTTTTTAACGAGATATCATGTAAAAAGGTACCAAACATTTCCTTCCAATTATCTGGTGAGTGATCTAATTATGGTTTCCGAATTGTCATTCTTTTTGTATTACTACGGTTGACTAAATATTTATTCTTGAAACGAGTAACTTGATCTTCCATCAAATTATTATATATTTATATAAGTATAAATCAAGTCATATTCAATTTTGGAGAGAAATCATTCTCATTAAAGATTCTATTTTGATATTGTTCATTCGTCCTTAAAAGATGTCTACTTGATTTTAAATCTATCAATTCTCCTTTTTTATTCTCTTGAGGCTACATTAAAGGTAGAAATGGATTTTTTTATGGAAATTGATTGATTATTTATTTTACAGATACTGAAGGTCGAAATGGCAAAGGAGGGATATTATTTAATTATTATGTTTATTATACATTTAGAGGTATGATAGCCTAATTGAAATAATTGATTCCTCCTTATGATTATGGTAGAAAGCTTTATTAAATTTGAGGAATTGATAATTCAACTTTATTTCTTGGAATTACATATCTTTATTAGATAGGATATCCTTTTATCCTTGCATCTATTGAAGAAGCAGAGACAGCATGCTATTAACTGCTTGGTCTATAACTCTTTCTTATTTGTTAAGGGGATGGCTAATTTTGTTGTTCAGTCACTATTTGAATGTACAGATTCAATTATTCCATGATATTTTATAACTATGCAGGTTTAATTTATATTTGTTTCAATTGTGCTTTGATTTAATCTGTAAATTGAAGAGACATCTCATGTTATTGAGAATAGATATCTTCAGTTTTACTTTGCTTATAGCATTTTATCAGAGTCTTTAAACATTTTTCAGAACTCAATTTTTGCAATCTCGTTTACAAGTGATTCCATCTTTCATAGGATAATCGATGAAACTAATTGACTTAATTGAGTAAATAATCTAATTGTTTTTGCGATTGAGTATTGAGAGTATTTTCAAGCGTTGATAAATAATTGTCTATAGCTTAATAGAGCTTTTCTTTGGCCTCTAGAAATTTATTTATCTAAGTTTTGTGATGATCATTGATTATTATTTTGAGTTCTGATACATTTTGGATATCATCTGCCAACAAATTACATACATCAACAATTTTATTCTATTATTCTGCCAAGCAAGTTGAAAGATGATCAAAAGTTGGAGCATACTGTTAGTTATTATGATCTTCTTAATGAATATTCACACAGGCAGGACAAAGTGGAAGCAAGCAGTCACTTAGAAATGATAAAAATTTTGATACAGATGTTTACAAAAGTTTTGTATAAATTAATCAGGGTGGTAATGGCATTAAACTATAGGGGTGGTTAATTGAGTATTGTGTGTTAATTGTCTTATTTTGTAATTGGTTGATTATTATTATGATGGAGTAATTGGTCGATCAGATGGTCTCTATGAATCTGATTCGAATATACGACTACGAGGTTGTCTTTATATTGAACTCATTTAGTTATTAATATTATGTGTCTAACTGAAAACTAAAGATGATGATCAAATAATTAATTATTAACTACTTAATTAAATGAAGTAATATGAATGGGACTTGAAATGTATATCCACCAGAAGTGCACAAAAGTAAATTAGTGAAAATTGGTTTCGCACTCCCAAAGCCACCCACAGAACTTAAACACTTCAATCAGACAACAAGATTCAAAGTAGAAAAACACTTGAAACTAAATTAACAACACAACCATGTACATCCTTCAAAGAAGAATTCTAAAAAATATCATCCAAAATTGGAAGTTTTGTTACTCCCACAAGTGAATTCCAGTCTCCTATGCAATAAATTTACGAACATCAAGTTTAAGAGTTGAAGACTATTGATATGCAGAATGAAAACGTTTCTTTGTAAGTAAGTGTTACTACGATCTCTAGTAAGAAAATTTGACTCTCAAATAACAGGTGCAAATTCAGAAGGACTAAATTAAACATAAGGATATGGTTATTAAGAAATTAAACTTCACCATCTAATAATTAACATCTTACAACCAATAATTGAAATTATCTTTAGGTTCAGATACTGATTTAGCAAAGCAAAAAGCACAGATTAAAATGTTAGAGAATGAATTGGCTGATAAAACTAATTAGATTTAACAATTCTCTAAAGTAATTCCATTGTAATTATGTAGATTTAAGATGAAATCAAATCTTTAGAAGACTTTTATGTTAAAATGTTATCCAAAATGAAATCTGATTTACTATTTCAAAATAGGGAATTGTTAAAATTGCTTAATCATGTCCAATGCATGAGTCAAATTGCTATTCTCAGTTTGCAACATGAAGAACTTCCAATAGATCTCTTATTCAAATACAAATAGTATGGATTGTTTGAAGAAGAGCAGTAAATAAATCAGAAAGTAGAAGTCTTTGAATTGACCAAAGAAAATGGAAACTTATTATCGAAAATATTGGATGACATCAAGAAAACCTTTGAAAAGATATCTTATCATCTTGTTGAAGGATTTTCATTATTGACCAAACATTGAATATGTTGATATTATTATAAAATATACATATCCTCCTTCATATTAAAATTCTTCTTCATATTGTCTTCTTAATAACAACAATCGCAAAAAATCAATACTTTTGTTTAGAACTATGCTAATATGGTGTTGTGTAGTACTTATCTATAATAAAGTACTCAAAAATGATTTTACATAAACAAATAAAATAACAAATATGAGATGGAGTTCATATCAATAAAGAATGATTTCATGATAGAAAGATCAATTTTCTAAGTTAATTAAAGATATGTCATAGTTCTAGAGTGATTTAAACAAAGAAAGTAAGATGATCTTTATATCACACGGCTTTTAATTATATTGCATTTATTTTATTATATGTAAGTGGATGAATATTCCAAAATCACTTCGAACTCAAATGGAATGAACATCACTCTTAGAGATTTATTGGATTAGCCAATCCAAACCAAAACAGCCAAAGTAATAGAAGTCTTCATTAGTAATACTTGTCCACATCATTATAAGATGAAGGTGATTATGTGTATAATTGTTATATTGCTCTCAAAATTTCATATCAAGGAGAATTGATGGAACTTTATAATAGATGGCCTGGACGAATAGATGAAGTTTTCATAAAGGAAAATGATTTGATTGGACTCGATAGTATACTCTACAATATAAAGAGTGAATTCAGGTAAGATCTATAAGTCGAGTTCATTTAGTATGGGTTTACTCATAAACGCAATTAGAATATTAGGATAAACATTATTAAAAATAAAGAAGATCCTACGTCTGAACAAGGTGACAAAATTCCCTTGGATCCAAAAATCATACTTGGACACAAAGACAACATATTTAGAGTTGAGATGAATGATGGAAAAACAAATGATGTAAATATTTTGGTTATGAAAACTAAATATCCTCAACTAGTAGTCTAATATTTAGAAAACAAATTGTGAGTCACTATATACATACATATTATATTGATCTTTAATTTAATTTTAGATGAACTAATTAATAATTCATCAAAGTTTGAATTTCTATTAGATATAGTAGGAGAAATATTGGGTTTATGTGATTTATTTTAGAATTTGATCCTAAGTTGAGCTAAGTATGCTATCTAAAATTTGATTAAGATTAATTTCACCATCATCGTTTGGAATCAAAGGGAGTAAGTTGTCTTATATATACGTTTTAGTGTCATCTAAGATTTAAAAACTCAAATTCATTGTTGTATCATTACTATCTGCTAAATAGTGTCCTGGAACACTTAATTGGCGTATTTATTAGTATGTTTTGAATAATTTATCAAATAGAGTGGTGTATATTTTACACTCTGTAAGATTTGCTGACAAATTATAAAACTTGAGTTTGTTAGCATCAAAGAATAGAATTTGAGATTATTCTTCACAAAAAGAATCAATATCTTCAATACCTAAATTTTGTAATCCCTTTTCACTGTCTTTGACTATTCCACAAATAATTGGAACAGGAGAATCAAGAATTGGCATCAATTAAGCAGTTAAAACATGAATGGTAGGTTATATGTGCTAAAAAGGTTTAATCATATGTGGCAATATCATTCTATAATATATACACTCAAAATTACAATAAAGAGCTCAATAAGGTACGATTACTACTTATAATACAGATATGTTGTTCCAACATCATATTGATTAATAAAATTAAATAATGGGGCAATTCCATATTTAAAAATGCATAAGAAATAGCCCATTCTATTTCATAGTTTTCAACATTTGAACTATGAATGTGTTGAAATTGTAATGGAGTTTATAAAAATTTGTAATTGCATTTACTTATCAATTTTGAATACTGCAATTCTGTTAAAAAATTATATAGTTCTAGTTTGAATGACTAATATTATACAAATACAATAGTTACTGTATAGAAATAGTTATCAATATCCCCTAAAGTCTCCTCGAATTCTGAAACCATTGAATAGATCTCTGCTTTTTTGAATTTTAATGTACCTATATAAGAATAATAGATACTTATTATAATCTTGATAGTTTCAATAAAGAAATCAATAATTGGTGCTTTAGTAATGAAGCAATAAGTTTTAGATAATGAATAAAAATATTTCTTCTTTAATTTAGTGGTATTGTTGCCAACATTACAATCATAGAAATCAGGCACATCAACACAAACACAATATAATTGATGATTGATATTTGTAATTGAGATTAGATCACATATGTTATCAAGATTTACTTAAGTTTTATTATTAAGCACCACACTTTTATTAAATGTTTATTCTGATTACATGGTAATTACATATGCACCTGCTAATCTATCATAATTTTGACCACCCATTAGAATTCTAAAGTATATAATATATTGATGTACGAATTCAAATTACTCATTGATTGAGTTTTCTATTCCAATCTTACTTTAAGTCCATATGGATGTATCTATTATGCCAATAATAACAATTATTCCTTATAACAAGAATCAGCAGATGAATGTTGAAACAAAATCTCAGGCATTAAATTCGCTTCTCCTGCTTCGAAAATATCATTAGTTAATCCATTCAATGTTGATTTTGAAATACTGATAATTAGGAATTCTTCAAATAAGGAATATTAATTCTATTTCAATTATTATGATTATGATAAATCTTATTTGATTACAATAGGTTCTTATAATAATTACTATGGAGTAGAATTAGATCCCTCACCTTTAGATATTTCTAATCCTAATTTAGAGTAGTTCTAATTTGATTGAGATAAATTATCATTATTAATTTCTTTAGCATCCTATCCCTCAACTTAATTTAATCCATTATCCATTGATTTTCCAAATTCCCCTGCTTCAGGACTGATAAAGTCTTCTTTCGAATTGCCGCATTTCTTTGGACTCAAGTAATTCATATGCAAAGTTGTCATCTTGGTCTCAAATATACGTTTCCCTAAATTGAAATAAATCTTAAGTACTTTAAGGCTAAATTGTTGAAAACGACTTCTTGTATCGATCCAACGTTACTGTACTATATAAATCTTCTTTTTTCAAAGCTAACTTTGATTTTTAACTAATTTACTTTCAATTCAAATTTCAATGTTCTATTCTCTATTCCCAACTACTCAATATACGAATCCTTTTCCCTTAATTGTATTTGATAATGTGTTATTTCACGTATTAAATCACAATTCTCTTAAGTCAATTTCTCCTATTTATTAGTATGTGTCTTACATTCATCTCTTCTAATAACTTGATCTATGCCTTGTATTCATCCGAATCCTAAGTCTATGAAAAATATTGTTTTGATTTCATTATAAATTTATTTATGTATATATCGATACACAATCCTAATATAATATATTTATAATTTAACAGCTACAATGTTTGGGTCTACTCCTAAAATTAAACAATTTTCATCCTTACTCTAAAATTCTCTAGATCATAAGCCCATACAGGAACCAACATTTACAGAAATGACTCCTTCGACAACTTAAAAATACAATATCCTGAAAAATGTCAAGAAACTTAATGTCTCCTCCCAACCTACTGAAAATAGTTTAAATCAAATAATGCTAAAAGGATAATAACATAGGATAATCAATAATTAATAAGGAAAATGCAAATTTTAGAATTGAGGATCCTACAAGCTGAATAGAAATTTAACTTACACTTCAATTCCTCAATACTTTATTCACACCAATAGTTTACTATAAACACCATAAGTAAGAGAAAAAAAAAGCTGTCTGATTTGAATTCAAAATTAACAAAGGAGGAATAAGAATTGCTTGATTAAATTATCAATGCAGATTTCAATATTATTAAGTAGAGAATAGAGAGGTTAGAATTTGTAATTCATCAATAATGACATAAATTGAAGAATGGAAATAAAAATATAAAGATGCATGTTGCAGTTTGAAATTATTAGAAATTTAGATTTGGATGCGAAACAACATTTCAGATTGTAAATTTCTTGATAGTGACAATAGATACTACATCTAGAGATAAAAGGATAAAACTATTAAGAATGAAACAGTTAGTTTAAAACCTATTTAATGATAATAGGGTTTTATACTACTCACCATTTTCAAAAACCTGGTCATCGATGCAAACTAAACTTTGACTGTTTAATGGCCTTAAACAATATTTACAATTAAACTCGGAACTTAAAATGCACAAATTAAATCGAAATATTCCCCTATAGGGATTTTGACTTATTAATTATTAAGGAGCCAATTGTATTTTCAACTCACTTTGATTGTGGCTAATATTCCAATCTAAATTTTAAATGCTGTGTTAAGGAGCATATCACAGAACAAAATCGAATTGTAAGAATTATTAGAAAGGATTTGAGAAATACCATTTAAAATTAATTCAAAACTATTGCTCAAACTTTCGATATCAATCAACCATATTTTGAATTGAATTTTCAATCAATAATGAGGGTTATCAAAATTATTCAATTATTTTTTAATAATATAATCATAATATTAGAAATAATTTAAAGTCAACAACAATATGGATCATCAATGCTCAAAAAATCACAATCTACCTATCATCCAAATAATTCTTAATCCAAAATGAAAACCTGAAGACAGATATTTATGCTCATAATGCATAGAAGAATAATAACATTTTGGAACAGTGATCGGATATAAGAAAGCTTTGGAGATGGTGGACTAAAATAAGTAGAAGTTGAACACAACAATATTTGGAATGATTAATGAGGAAATTTTAAAGGTGAATAAATGGAAGAAAGATATTTAAGAATAAAAAAATTACACCATAAGCATTTATGATTCTTTGATCGAAACTATTGATGAATGGGTTATTAGTATTAAAGATTAACAATTTTCACAAGAAAATAAGAAATTTTTAGAAGTATTGGACGACATGAGTGATAATTAGGAAGGTTGGATCAAGTATAACGTATACCAAATAGTCTCTTCAATAATATTAATAGATAATATTACACAGAAAAAACTTTAGACCCAATTCGACGAACTGAATGCAATTCTTAACAAATTTGCTATGAACAATTAATTTAATGAAATCTTTTCATAAAACCTTAATATATTTTGGAATTCATACAAAATTGCTGAGCAATTCAGAAAAAATTAATTAAATGTATTTTTTTTAATTAATTAGGATTTTGAAAATATTGTATGTAAATCCCATAATTTACCAATAAGTTCTTTTAATATTTAAAAAAATTTTCCATTAGAATAGAGAGTTTACTGTAAGAAATGCAAGGGAAAAGGAGAGTCTATTGAAGAATTGAAGAAAGTCTTAGATTAGTATTTTATAGATCAGAATAGATAGTTGTAAAAGAATTCTCAGAAATTTATAAAAGTGATTTAGAAGCATTGGTTAAGTTTAATAAAGGACCTTTAATTTTCATTTTTCTCCCAATTAAATAATTTAACATTCTAATTGTAAAATTAGGAATAAAAATCAATTTTAGATTTTATTTGCAAGGTTTAAAGATCCGAATGCTCCAATCTTAGCAACTACTAAAATTTATGCTAAATGTTAAGTGAAAAGGATTAATCTATTCCAGAATGCTAAATAGGTGATTAATAGCTTAGAATTCTTGTTTTTGTAAAAGATTTGGTATCAAAATTATAAAATTCAATAAAGATAATCTAAGAAAAACATCTCTTTATTTAAAAATCTAAAGATAATTAACCAAAAATCGCAGACTTGTAAATTTAGAGAGAAATATATTGGAAAAAATTGCCTTTAAACACTATTTGGAATGATATTAATGTTAAACCTAATTGTGCATTAGTTACTAATTTAGATTCTTTATTATTAAAAGGAGTAAACAATTGTATCGAAATACATCATTCAATAAATTAGCGTTTAGCAAAGAAAATTTTATTTCTTTAACCAAAGCAATTTGTAACTTGTTTTGCTGATTGTTAAATTGCTAATTGCTTCATAGCTGGTTATAATGATGGAAAGTTATAATATTGGAAAATATTAAAGCCCTAAATGAATTTTTATCAAAATATTGAAAATATCTAAAATTTTCACTTCGAATCACCCCAATATAAAAATCATACAGATTAAATTAATTTTATAATTTTGGAATAATCAAAAAATAATAATACTAAATACTTATTTACAGCAAGTTCAGATGGATTGATAAATTATTGGGAATTGTAATTAACAAATAATCGAATGAGCTTCCAATATTCGCTGAAGAAACATGAAAAATCAGTGATGGCTTTAGCTTTAAACCAAAAAGATGATATTTTGGTTTCATGTGGTTAGGATAACAAAATAGTAATTTGGGGTAAGAGATAAAATTAGACATCTTACTTAAAATCACTTTGTCAAAGATTCAAGTTTCGAAGTTCGATAAATATCCACAATTTTATTTTGATATCAACTTTTCATCCTTCATCACAAGTATGAATCAATACAGGATATCATAACTAATTTGATATTATTTCTGAAACATTCTAAACATTGGTTAGATCTAGAATTACTTAATAATCAGACAATAGTGATCGCTATTAATATAATTAATTAATAATGATAATATATTATTCTTATTAATCTAATAACTTTTAATGATTGTTTACACTTTAGAAAATACTTATTCTTAATGGATATTGATTATGAATAATAAAATGACAAATCATGATCCTCAAACAATTAATTCATATACATGACAATTTGGTGTCCAAATTAATATATTTTTATAGTTAGCGACACCGCAATAATTGCCCAACTTATTCTATAGATTTTGACTTATTGGATCTGATGATAACACTATTTCCTGAGTTTTTGTTAATGATACAATATACACAGTTTAACCGTGACCAAAACATACCACGCCATTCTAGATTATTGTCATTTGAAACTCAAAATTATCATTTGAACATGGAACTAGTTTGATCCTTTTCTATTTTTATTCTTCAAAAATGTCTTACTTTTATTAAAATATATAAACAAATTCCGAATCATGGTGCACTGTTATGAAAATATTGTAGGTTATAAAATGTATTTTTTTCCCAAAACTATTGATAGATTACTTAACTATAGATAAATACTACCATGTTAACAAATAAACATAAAGAGTAATTTGAATTTTAACAATAAGGTATTTTCAATAAATAACATCTGGAGCAAAAGAAATTGCATCACTAGGTGAAGAATCAAACAGGATCTATCAAAGGGGTTGTGAGAACCTTCTTAATTATTAATATTTTGTGAATGAGATCATTTAAATTTGTTAAACAATTTAGATGCAACTATCAGAAAATAGATAAACATATATTAAAAGGATTGGAACATTAGGTATAATAAATAGGATGAAACTTGAGATTAATGTTATTCATACATCAATGTACTTATATCTTAAATGATCTATAAATCGGTCTATCAAAGGCATTACAATCGTACTTGAGACTATACTTAATTAATCCTTTCCTGCCCCAGTTTTACCCCCAAGAATTTTATATTTCTATGTAGTCTTTATCTTATTCATCATGGAGAGCTAAAACCTTAATAATTATAGCATGATGATTTGGTTTCTTATCTAAAAAGCAATCATATATTCCATCCTTGTAAAATTACCATCCGCTGATATCAAAGCCTGCTACTACTGGTCCATTACTAAGTGAATCAATTAAGGTGTATATGTCACGTTAAATAGTTTCAAATTAAGTCAGAGCATAAGTATGCTATCCTCTTATTCCTTTGCATGCATCTTATCTTCCAGTTTAAGGGTAGTAATCTAATTCAGAAATATGATCTTCATTAGCATACTCAAATGCATTAATAATATCATTCATCGATCTAGTTTCACAACCATAATTCCCATCCACACAATCTATCAATTACTACTGCGAAAATTTTTTAAAATATGCTTATCCTGAATCGATAATAAAATAGCATTCCATGATCTCAGCTGTTGCAAAAGCCCATCCTGCTCCACAATTGCCTTAATCTTTTGGCGACATGCAGTAATCACTCCAATCATAAAGAACCACTTTTTTACCTGTTTTATGAGTAAGTATTATATCAGAATTTTTGTTTGAAAAAGGAGTCTACTCTTGAGCATCTTTGGAGGCATATATTTCTAAGAATTCGTCATTAGTGAGATCCATAAACTAATTTTCTCCTAAGGTATACGAATAGTTATTGTTAGAGTTATGTGTTTGAATAATTTCTAAATTAGCAATATAAATTTAAAATCTATAGATTTCTTCGTATTTGGATTAATAATTTTTGTTAAATTCAGTTTTCCACTCTTAAAATTAATTTAGCATAGTTTAAGATGTTATGATAGAACCTAATAAAACTGAAAGTATAGATGTTGGCAAAATCATTAAAATTAAATTATCAATTAAAAAACAGTATGTAATTGAGATCCTAATAATAAATAATAATTTATAACTATGGGCAATATCATTCACATTTTTATTATTAGTAAGATAATTTATACAATCCTTAATCTCCATTAGAACATTCTTATATAATTACTAAAATCTTTATTAATATGCTTATTTACTTTAGGTTATGGGTATCATTCAAATTAACAATCAAAAACAACGTTAACAAAAGGTAATCTCAATTTATAATTCTGTACTTTGCAATTGTATTTTCGATGGTAATCAAATAATGGGATTAATTTGTTTAGAATATATGATTAAATTGAATCGTATTTAATGAATTATTTAGGATACTCAATATTAATTTTTTATGGTTGTACAACATTATTAAAGCATCAGATTAATAATCAAATTGTTTGAATGAATCCTTATTTATGCTCCCAAAGTGTTGTGATATCAATATAAGCCAATACAAATGAATTGTATATGGATGAATATCTATAATTAGAATGAAGATAATAATTTTGATCTTATTTAATAATATTTTAAAATTCAGCGCTAAATGGAAAACAATTTAATTTGGTTAGAGAAGTATAGGCCAAAAACTCTGGATGAAGTTCATGGCAATTCTGATTTGTTGATAAATTAAGAGTAATAGCAAAAATGGGAAATCTTCCTACCATCATATTGGTTGGCCCTCCTGGAATAGGGAAGACAAGTAGTGTACTATGTTTAGCAAGATAAATATTGGGAGATTCAATAAAAGAAAGTGTGCTTGAATTGAATGCATCTGATGATAGAGGAATAGAGACAGTGAGAGAACAAATAAAAGGGTTTGCATAGAAGAAAGTGAATTTACAGGAAGGACAACACAAAATAGTAATTTTAGATGAAGCAGACAGTTTGACAGAAGGAGCATAATAAGCATTAAGAATGTTCATCAGTGATTATTCGAATTCTACTAGATTTGTATTATCTTGTAATGATTCAACTAAATTGATTGATGCAATCTAAAGCAGATGCTGATTTTGAGATTCAATCGGTTGGGTGAGAGTGAGATAAGAGAAAGAGTGTTGGAGATTATAAATAAGAGAGTATTACTTACACAAAGGATGGATTGGATGCATTAATATTTACATCAGAAGGAGATATGAGACAAGCAATCAATAATTTATAGGCTACATTTACAGGATTTGGATTAGTAAATCGAGAAAATGTATTCAAAGTTTGTGATGTGCCTAATATTGATGATTTGAAGGAGATTCTAAGTTATATGATAAAGGGGGAATTCTAACCTGCTTAATCACTTATGAAATCGATTTTTGATGATGGTTATATGGCTTATGACATCACCAATACATTCAATAAAGTTAATTTAAAATCATAATGGAGACAGAGATCTTCAGTTTGAATTCTTACGATAAACAGCCTTTCTGAAAGCTAGAATTGATTACAGACTTTTTTGTAGATGTCCGGATTCATTGCAAAATGTTGCAATATTTCAAAAAGTTATCATAACAAATGATTATATATATTGAACCCAAATTATTGAGTTTCTTATTAATAAAAATTTGGCTGTTAGTCATGCAATAATTCTAAGTCTCTAAAAATAAACCAATCGCTAATCCAACCCAATTATACAATCAATTCTAAGTTCGTTCCCCTTTCACGAATGTTGAGAATAAGGGCTTAGTGTAAAAGACAGCCAGTGATATGGAAATTGTCAACAAACCAGTGGTACTCCACCAAGCAACTGACACTTCAATAAACTCCGAATGCATCTGAAATATAAGATACAATTCCAAGGTTGGAGGAGGAAAGCAGGCATAAAAGGAAGATCCCAATTAATTTTAATTCCCAAACTGCCTCCCTTCATCCCCATGAGTCCTTAATAAAGACATGAGAATGCTTAGATATTGCAATCTCCTCAAAATCGTCAACCCTATTTGCTCTCACCTCAACATCAAGTTTAGTCTCCCTAAATTTAATTCTAATCTCCAAATACTCGAGATCAGAAACAATAGCATTATTTTTCATAAGTACAAGCACCATAATAGCCTAAACATATTGCTCATTCATCTTCCTTTGTTTAACCAACTTTGGTGTAATAAAGCTCACAAAAAGTAGTCAATTACACCAATACATTCGTTCTTCAAGAGGAATTGAAAACATTACAATAATAAAGTGTTAAAATGACTTAAGAAATCTAGAAGTTGGAATCCGAAGCATAGAGAGTTCAATCAGCTTAATTAATAAAGGAATTGGATGATAAGATTAAATTACTAAATTAGATGAATAAATAATTGTAAGTTGACAATGCAGAATTAATGAGGGTACCCGATGTAATGGCATTAAGAGATCTCATAGTCAAATACTAGAATGATAGAAAAATGGCCTATAATTAATTGGCTGCTATGAAGAATGAAATCTAGAATTATAAAGTACGTTGTGAAGAATTGGAAGCTAAAATTAAGATTGATACCTCCTAGGAATTGAATGATTTGGTTCAAGAGTTGGAAAATAAAGTCCAAACCTTGATTTTAGAGAATGACAGACTAAACTTGTAATTGAAAAATTCTAGTAGTCTGGCTAATACTATTTAGAAACAGAAATAAGAGAATGATCTTGTTAAAGAAAAATTAATTAAAAGTAGAAAAGAAGAAGAAGCTTTGAAATAATCATATCAAAAGGAAGAAATTAAACTGAAATTATATGAAGAATGTAATGACAAATTGAAATTGCTTCAAGATGAAAATTAAAGATTATAAGGTATAATAAATGAATCAGAATTAACTTAAAATGATTTAAAGAGTCTCTAAGACAAAGTATTTAAATAATATTAATATAATAGATATTAGTGATAAGATAAGACAATGAAAGAATGAGAAAATAACTTAAGAATAGATAATGATTTAAATATATATTATATATTATTAGTGGACCTAATTTAATACTTTTTGTACATGTAATATTCATCTCATTACTATTATTATATAATTCTTGTACAAAGATAACTATCAACTTCAAATTATTGAGAGCTGAATACATGATATTTGGTTAAAAATCATCATTACATAATAAAATGGAAATTGGAATTGAAAAGATATACTACTTACAACTATTTTTAAATCATATTAATTACAACAACTATTTGATAAAACAGTCCAAAATCCTTTTAATAAATATTTTATTGTTTAGTACAAGGAATCTAATAGATCCAACTCAAAATTGATCAGAAATTTCGATAAATTCTTGTAAAATGTACTCTTATTTCTGCTAAAATTCTTCTCTTTAATACAGAGTCAATGTATGATTTTAAATTCTTATCCAATAAATCAATTCTTTATTCTTCATTTTTAGTTAATGATAAATTTTAACAACTTGCATTCTAGACTCTTATATAAAAACAGAGATGTTTAAAATGTAGCAACAATACTGAGCAAATAAAAAAATGAGTATTACTGAAAACCCAAGAGTTTGATTATAGAACATTTTGGTCGTTAAATAATACGAAAGTTTATTTTCAATATATTACATCTAAATCTTAATATAGTTAGATAAAAGATCTCCTATCTTTAATTTCTAAATAGGTAAATCAATTTATGATTGTAAGTTACACTTCTTTTATTCAAATATCTAATAACAATAATTCATATTTAATCCACTGTCTTTCTTATGGTTGTGATTAAATTATTCAAGGCTTTATTTACACTGTCTTAACTATCAAAATAAGATAGATAGCAATATCGTTGCATCAAGACAAGAAATTAGTGTAAATTACTAATGCAAAAGTAATAATCAAAATTAAAGCTGGAATTTAGATAAATTTAGAATCTCATAATTCAATAGTAAATGAGATATTAATAATCAAAATTGATATGTCTATTGATAAAACAGAAGACACATAAATTATAAATGAGAATTTTTATCATATTTATAAATCTTATTTATCAAATTTTATAATAAAACACACTATTATTGATTATCACTATCAGAATAGTACTTTTGATAATTTGCAAAAATTCTTAGTTTAAAAGTATTAAGTTTGGAATAGATTTCACAATCATAAGGATGAATATGAGTATTAAATAAGGTGTAGAAAATTACATGATTTTGATGATTATTATAAAAAATTAGTATTGGAATTAATTATACATATTTTTATTAAATTTTCAAATCTTTAAAAATGAGCACCAATATGTTTAATGTCCTTAACATTTCAGATGATGAGGATTCTAAAACTCAATAGAAAACACAATAATAACAATCTAAGAAGAGTAACATATCTTTCATAAATTATTAGATAAATAAAAGCGCGAGTAGGAATAAGTGATTCCAGTTGAATTAGTTAAGAAAGAAAGCACTTAACATCATAATCCAGCTCCAAAATAAAAGGGACTAACAGCTGATCCTCATCCAAAGGACAGACACTCCGGAACAGGAATTGGAAAGGAACTTCGTAAAGAAGGTGGCGGAAGAAGAAATTGGGGAAATTATAAGGACGATTTAAAGTAGGAGAAGTACCAAGGTGCAATTGAGGGAAAGGAAACACCCTAGGAATAAAATACTGAATAATAATAGGCTGAAGAATAATAGCCATAGGAAAATGTACCATAAGCACCACCTGAGAAGACATTAGCAGATTATTATTAAGCAAGAGGAGTGGTAAAGAATAGTTTATGATAATTTATTTAGAATGTGGAAGAAGTCCTTAAAAAGTAGTAGTAGAAGGCATAACCAGTAGTAAAGATCGATGAGGAGGCATTGAAAAAGGAGAAATTATAGGTGATGAGAACAAGAGAAGATGAGAAGAGAGAAAAGGAATAGAAGGCAACAAAAAAATCAAGTGGTTAGTAATAGGGATACAGAAGTGAAATGAGTACAGAAGGTTAATAATATTTCGGATTTACAAATGATACAAGAAGAAATGATAGAAATGATAGAAATGACAGAAATGACAGAAATGATAGAAAAGATTAGAATAACAAAGGATAAAAGAAATAAGTAAATATTAATATCATAATTAGTAATAACCAAATAATGGAGTTCAATTCGATGATAAGGATTTCCCATCATTATGAAGTGATCATTCCAAACACATAAAAAGTGAGAAATTTGGTATATATAGTACATATATCAATTATAATTTCACTCTCTTCTCATTAGTGATTATACTTCACTTAATTTATTAGAGACAGGCAACCTAAGATTCATCTCTGACTTACTGTGTCTTATCAATTCTTATCTAGTGGTAGTTTAAGTTGATCTAAAAATATCATCCATTTTTGAATTAAAGCTCCTCACAGTTTATGGTCTCATTGGATGGACATATTTAGAAACTTAATTAAACATAGGTCCAACTTCAATATTACGCCTTCTTTTGTTGTCTCTAGAACCTAGACTCATTTATCTCATCTTGTAAAATGCACTGCTTTTAATTTTAGTAGCAGATGCTCCTCTTGAAATGAATTATGAAACTGGAAATAAAATCTATCTAGAGGTAGTTGTGGTGGCATCTTCTACTTGAACATCAGTCTTCTGTTTTGATACGTGAGTTGGAATTCGACTGTATTGTAATTGTTTTTCAGATTCTTGTTCTTAAACTTAGTCATCTTCTTTTTTTCGATGTATTTTTTGTAAGTAATCAATAACATTAATAAAAGGTGTTTCAATATTGCGTGGAGATCGTAATTGTTGAATCTAATTTAAGATGTGCATTGAAAACTTCTTACCTGTCATTTTTGATTTGAGTTAGCGATGCTTACAATTTTGACATAGATCTGACATAATTTTATATATATTTGTTTATATAATTAATATATACGATCCTTACTAAAAAAGAGAAATATCAAAATTATTCTGGACATTCTACTAAAAGTGAAGCAATAAAAGATTCCTTTTGTTATAAGTTGAGCATTTTTAACGAAATGCTAAGAGAAATATGTAGTATAAAATTTTAGATCAAAGAAATAACATCATTATTTAAAAGGTTGACAACTAAGAAGTATTTGATTATATTGGCATCTAAATGAATTTCAGTAATTTTATCCTTTTATACAGTTTCGGAATAATTCTCAGTAATTAAACCTTTGGCAATTCTATTATTTTAATTGCTAATATAATATATTCTAATAAGTAGAGTATATTATATTAACAGTATATTGATTTAAATAGTTACAAAACAAATTGATTTCTATAAATTACAAAGTTTAGATTTGATAATTATCTATAGATGAGTCTGAAAATGGTATTGTAATTGATTTGTTTATCTTCATATATATAATATATTGATATATTAATACTGATTTCACTCACATGCAAATTTGAAGTCGAAGGAGGTCACGCAGATTTAGAATGCTTGAAGAGGTGATAGGGGAAAACAGAAGTCTACATTGAACAAGAGATCATCGACTCTTCCAAATTGGAGATAAATGAATTAATGATTATCTGGTTTGACTAATTGGAAATTTTTGACTGAGGGTTGATCTACTCTTCCGTAGAAGTTTAGAACATGGGCTTTCATTTTGGTATCCCATCTAGGAGGTTTGTTGACAAATTCCTCAATGAATTCACGCTTATTATATTGGTAATCATATTGTATGCCTTCTTTATCATGAAGGGGTTGGAACATTTTAGGAATATTCATTTCTCCAACCTTAGGTATTAGAACCTTCATCTTCCTAGGACATTTATTCTACATGATATGACTTTCATAATAGACTACTCCTAACTAATTTCTGATTAGAGTGGTGTCTTTGCATTTTTTGAAGTTCTTGCCTTCGTCCCAAAGAATGAATTCAGTTCCAAGGAAATTGGATCTGACTTTGCCTAAGAAGCATGGTTTTCTGGTTGAGAATTCTTTCTTGTCCATGGAAATCACATAGTTGGATGAAGTGTTCATGACTACTTTCTTAGCACTGAATAAGTAGACGTCTCCATCGGTTGTATAAACATGATAAACTGGGTAAAGCCTTGCAAGACCACTCTTATCTCTTTTGATGTAGCATTGCAAGGTTCTATTCTCTTTCAATGGGGTTGTTAGGAATTATCTTCCCTTGTCTTGGCCTTTCATTTATTCTCTCACGTAATCGATTTCAAGTTTCTGAGGGAATGGATTAACAGAGACTTGCCTTTGATTGTTCGATGACTGAGGAGGTTATTATTATTATAACTAAATTTCTTGTGATTGAGGTTGTTGATCATTATCATCTAGTCTTTGTAATGGAAGACTTCTGGGTTGCACTTGTTGATCTCCATCTTCCACTTCAACTTGTTCTCCAGCCTCTGATTAGAAGTTGACTACTGATTAATTATGCTCATCTCTTTCCTCAGTATTGTTAGATGATTCTTCAGATTGGTGTTCTCTTCGTTGTTGAATTTATTCAAACTAATTTTCCTATTATTAATCTGATTGTTTTATTTTCATTTCTTATCCTGATGTTTTAGGTCTATTCAATCTGAGGTTATTCAATTCCTATTCTTATTAATTGATTTGTTGCATCCCTGGTTCGTGAATGATTTCATCATCGTCTGACTCTTTCCGAGTTTTGATTTGTTGTTTAGCACTCATCTTATTCTTGTTGTCTTATTGATTGTCATCCTCGTCAAATTAAATGATACCATCATCCTCACTGTTCTTTCTACTCATGAAAGTATATTTAAATTTATTATTATAATAATTAATTCAAAAATAGAATACTAATCTTGTGCTTTTTTGAACTTCTGCGTTAAATTCTGCAAATCTAGAGAGTGTCTTTGATAGTTACAAAATTTAGTTAATTAAAATTAAATTATACTTCAGATGAATAAATAATCAACCTTTGGGAAGGCTGATCGATTTCCTAAACTCCAAATATATTCGGAGAACTTCGTAGTTGGAGATCCCACTCTCATTTAGTAAATTAAATGTGGTGGTCCTTCCTTCCCCAGAAGTCAACGACTAATATTTGCTCATCATATTCAAACTCCAGGTCCAGGCAATTACAACATCGCTGATTTTAAATCCATCAAACAATAAGCGGACAAACTGTATAGAGTCAATAGAGAGTTCATGGATTACATGAAATCAAGACCTCGTTCTGTGTAGCAAAAGAACCCTGGACCTGGAACATATGAATTGGGATCAACTCTTAGAAGTAGAGGGATTTCATTCACCAAGGCTAGAGTCAGCAGTTTTCAAATCGAACAATCTCCAGGACCAGGATAATACACGATTAGTAGGCCAATTTCGAGAGTATAATGATTATAATTTTATCATGGATAATTTTCTTATTGAAGGCAAAACCGATGAGACTTACTCCTTGAGGAAGCTATTGAAATATTATGGCTACCTCTTTGTCACCTCTATGTTTGTGAGTTTCTTGGGATCCATCATTTACATAGTGCTCTTAGTAGAACTATATACAACTTGCAGTGCGTAGACAGGATAACAAGTGGCCATCACTTAGTTAATTTCTTATATTTTGAATGGAGTGTTTTCGTATGCCTGTCTACATTTGGTCTCGCAATCCAAAACCATATGTTATGTGAACTTTTCAGTCATTTTGACATTGATTTCAAAAGTAATAGCTTTGGTATTTGCTGCAATTCTGAAGAATCGAAATTGGGGTGAATGCTACATAACTCAAGCTTAGGGAGTGATGCTCATCACCAATATCAGTATTGAGTTTTGCATACTACTGGTGTTATATTACTTCACTCGCAACTTGTACTTCAGATTAGAGGAGAAACAATTGAGAGTGTCCTTGAAATTGCTGTTCGAATGATGAGATCCCTTATATATCTATATAGATGACAAACATAAATATAATTTAATCAAACAACCCTGGCAAATGTCCACCCGACTATTCTATTAAGTTTATAATTTTCCTCGGAGTAATCGGTGTCACCCAAATTCTAAATAAATTCAATCAAAAATTTACATGAGTATAATTCTTAACAACGCTAGCCAAGTTCTCTTGAGTCAATCCAAAATTGACCTTCTCCTAAGGGTTGTCCCAATCCAACCACTCGTGCTGTTTAATGATATTCCAATTGACTTAGGACGGAATCTTGCACCCAATCCTCTTATTGGCTTCCTTCTGCAACAAACTCTACAATAAGGATTGGCATGGTTTGCTCAATCGAGTTGGGATCTCCAAATTATCGTTCCTGATGTTGTTATATAAAGTGTCTAAATCCTCACTAAAATAAGGAGGTTCCCCAATCAGTAACTCGTACAACACTGTGCCTATTCCATAAACATCTGTAGCTTGTACTGCTCCCTTCTATGAAAGCACTTCTGGTGCAAGATAAGCAGGCGAACCACAAAAGGTTCTAGCCTTTCCAATTTCAGTTTGTTTAGATAGTCCGAAATCAACTAACTTAATCTTACTTTCATTGTCGATGAGGACATTCTCAGGCTTTAGATCTCTGTAGATGATATCTTTGCTATGCAAGTATTCCACTGCCTTCATCAATTGCCTGATGATGATCTTGCATGTGGCTTCATTGAAGGTTTTGTGTTTATACAGATGAAACGATAGGTCTCCTCCACCGCAATAGTCCATCACTAAATAGAGATTGTTGAGAGTCTAAAAAGATTGGAACAGATTCACAATGTAAGGTGAATCTACCTACTTCAAGATGTCACATTCAGTGACTGCAAATTTGACTTGCTTCTTCTGCAACAATTTTCTCTTGTTTAACTGTTTCATAGCATACACTTAATTAGTAGGGTTGTATTTCACCAAGAACACTTTGCCAAATGCTCCTTATCCAACCTGTTTGATGATTGAATAATGTATTAAGTACTACTTGTGTGATTCATTCCCATGGTTTCCTTCTACTGGAGAAAGAGTGCGGACTGGAGATAATTGTTGTTATTGTTGTTATTATTACAATTATTACTATTATTATTACATTTGTTCCTAGACTTATTGAGCTTCCACTTTTAAGTGTTAAGCAGCGTTTTCATTCAATGATTAACATCGAGAGTCTGCAATTAGGTTAAACTATCCGCCACCACCATTGCCGATGTATTGATTCAATGCCATTATGTCTCCTTGTATCGATAATTGAGCTATCTTCCTTTCAGTCTCCTTGTAATACAGAATCGAGTCTTCAAGACTCTTCTTCCAACTCAAAATCGTAGTCTTGCTCTTGGAACAAAATAACAGTATCTCTACTCCACTCTTTTTAAAAGAAACCTACAATATTATGATCTATTTTAATTACACTCAAATATTCGTGATCACTCTTCATATACCATTCCCTCTTAGGATTCCACACAGTAACTATAGTGGACAAAGCTATCGTCTCAATTGGATTAAGAGGACAGTCACTTTCCGTTTTGTACCTACACAGAGTACCTGCCTCTGGATCTAATGTTAAGTAACGTTTATAGTGAAAGAACTTCATCACGTTCACTTTTTTGATGTATCCCTTTTGAGCCTTGGGCTTAACCAGTTCTTGAGCCTTATTCAACTTCTATTAACAATGGTAAGTGACCAACTGAGTAGCATGCTGATCTCCTTTAATTTCACTCAAATCAACTGCCTGAGCATCGAAGTTGGGGTGTTTGAGAATCAGTTCTACTATGTCTAACTCACCTTTTTGGACTGCCAATTGTAAGGCACTCTTGCCTTATGAACAATAATTCACATCGCAAACCTACTTGCTAAGCAGAAGTTTAGCACATTCTATTTTAGAGTTTTTTAAAGCCAATTGAAGTGGGGATTGTCTGTCTTTGGTACAGAAATTAATATCAGCACCTTCCTCAATGAGATAGACAACCAGTTCTTCGTGACCTTATTGATTAGCATAGTGGAATCCACTAAATCCACAATATTATCTGTCGTTGATAATATCGAAGGACGGACTTTTATGATTGCTCACCATCGCCTTAACTGCTGGAATGTCATTGCACTTGACTAGCTTATAAATTGAGACATAATGCTTACCTTAATGAATTCAGCAGCGATTTCCATTTAGGATTTGTGCATTCCTACAGATTTTTTTCGAGTGTCATCTTCTTCTTCGGAGTCCTCATGCACAATGCCCAACTTCTCATATCCTTTCATACGATTGTAGCCTTTCTGAACTTCCAGAACCTCTGTTTCAGGGGCTTCTTCTTCGACTGCTTGATTTTCCCTATTCACATAAATGAATTGACAATCTTCTGGGTTGTAGCTGAAAAGATGCCGATCGTCCTCAAGAGTGTGTTCGTTTAGGATCAATGTCTGATCCTCCTCTCGAATATCAGTGAGTTGGGCGATTTATTATTTCAATTGGGCCACTTTGATGTTGGGATTAACCGTACACGTTTTGGTACTCATGTTACCCCATTGCGAACAATAACGAATGATGATTTTCATTATCTAATGTAGAATAATACTAAAATTATTATGAATGATGTTTTTAATAATGTAATGTACATTCATTATAATATATATATACAGATCAAATTAATCACTTCTTAGTTAAGTAATCCGTCCACTTCTGCCTAATGCTCTGAGCATAGATGGAAGGCAAGTTACGCTAAAGAGCCTATTGCAATTGCTCTCCTTCGCCTAATTTCTCAGCTTCCTGAAGAGCCTTCTGTAATACAAAGGTTCCAAACTTATTTTTCATCAATTCCAAACAAATGACGTCTTGAGACAATTGCTTGATGAATCGTTTCTAGGTTTTTGCTGACGTTTCTAAAATGCATTTCTCCACAACATTTGAAGAATATTTGTGGATTGATAGTTGTACCAATTTCTATAAGATTTTATCAATTATAGGAGTGCATTTTAAATCTCCATAGACCTTAAATATAGATATTCATAATTTACATCGATCGCGTGTTGTACACCATAATTACCGAAGGGATCTTGCACTATGTCATCCAATTGATCGCGCATCTTAATTAAAATAAAGGTGCATTTCTCTGGATTATTTTTAAATTTGGTTATGAGATCCTTCAAAACACAAAGTCCAAACTGATGATTGACAACCTAAATGAATTTCTCCATTAATTTGCTAAATATCAAATTCAAACGATCCTCAGAAAATCTCGCTATGATCTTTTTGATCAAATGTGTTCCTTGGCTGTCTAATGTGAGATTAATAATATGATTTTTTATGCTATTTTCAACCATTTCCTCTTCTTATTTTGATGATATCAAAGAAACCAAAGATTGAATAGCATGAGTACCCTTTTTATCACATGCAATATCTACTAAGCGGTTGGAAATCTGAAAAATATATATTAATAAAATGTTACTGTTTGTAAAATATATAATCGTTAATGGGGAGCACAACTTTAACTCAAACTACCAAACATATAATTGGCATAAGGATCAATCATTAAATCCCCTATATTTGAACCTATCTCTTGCAATAATTGATCCAACTCTATTTGTGTACATGTAGTGAAATGCTTTTGGATGAGACGACTCCCATGTTAAGTCTTTGCAAAATTCACTATCTTGCCCCTTATTTACTCAAAACTTTATAAATCTTCAGTCCATTCATCTGGTTGTGTCTACTCTTCCAATTGGAATGATTAGAATCGGACTCTTTATTGAGTGGGACCAACTTGAGGAGTGAAATTACGTGTTTTAGGTGAGAAAAGGAATGAATCAACAATGGGAGAGGACTTTGGGGATTGTTTGGTCAGACATTTAGTAATGTCTGGAGACAAGTTGATTTTAAGTGATTTTAAACACAACAATGGTTGATTGTGTTCATCTTCCCTCTACATTGAAATGCATATATCATCGTAACCAATGCAGATGTAATCGCTAGACACTTTGCTTGCATTGTAGTAGAATTCATAACTATGGACATTCTTTGCTTCTTGCATAAGATTACTATCCATAATGTGAACATCAATTTTAATACGACCTTATATCAATGGTACAAGATGCTTCTGTCTTTTTCCAAAATACTCTCTCAGATTTGCATAATCTATTAGAATAGAGGCATTTTTCTTCTATTTCAGAGTTGTGGAGTGAGTGAGGTTGAGATATGGCTGTTGTGCAATAGTGTGGAATATTCTAAATTCTATGAAGACTTTGACGTTCAGATCCAATAAGTCGTAGTCTACTGGCACTCTCTCCATTATTTGAGCATGCTTGATTTAATCTGTTAACAAGGCAAGTTATGCTGTTTTATGTTTGCATGTGAGGGCACATTTAGTGTGCACATCAAAATACTGGGAAAGTAGATTGGAGTACAATTGAGTATTACCTTATTGTACATTTTGATAACAGAGTGGGCAGATTGAATTTTCATTTTGGCTTCTTCCTATTATCTCATAATCTTCGTCAACTACTAAAAACATACATACAACTCAACTACTTAATGATTCTTCTAATGTGCTACTACACTTTCGAGAGTCTGACTCACTAAAAGAACAATAATCAATTAAACTCTTACTTGGTGCATTTGGAGAAGATCTCCTTAAATTCATTCGGAACAGGGTCCTCCCATCCGAACAATGGGTAAATATCCTCAGTCATAATCTAAACTTCTAGTATTTTTAAAATAATAAATTCCTGATGAAAGATTGTAAAATTTAATTGGACCATTTTCTAAATGCGTCATATGAGATATTAAATTGCTATAATCTTTAAATTGGAATTCCTTAATATTTTGCATAATCCATAATCTATTAATGAAAAAATGGAGTAATTGAACTAAAGAAGATAATTCAAAGCTATTTATGAAGTATTACTTTAAACCATAGTTTTAATTCTAATATAGACTTCTTTGCTTTAAGAATAGAATTGATTATATATTCTTATGAAATTACTAAAATAAGTGATTTTAGCGAAGATAAAGGAATCATATTCACTTTATATAATATATCCTCAAGTATTAGAATAATATAAATAAATTAAATATATCAATTAATTATAATATAATAAAAACTGTATGGATTTACAGAACTTCAATTAAAACTTAAATGAATATTAGATAATCATTAAATACTTGTATATTCTATCTCACCTGACATTGAACTATAAGTTATACTAAAATAATGGTTCAAACTGCAAGATAATGATTTATAATCAAATCCATTTAACGAAAATATTCGAAAATGAAAAGCTAAAACTATTTTTAATTATTATATAAAAATTCAGAAAATATATTAATATAACATTAAAAATCCTTGGTTTTCAATTAAATAACATACCAAGGATATGTAGCAAGATTCGTAGAAATATTAAATAATTAGAAATAGATTAAATTAGACACTTTTCCATCTAAAAATCTCCAAAAACTTTAAGGATCCCATCAAAAATAAAATATTAAAATCCTTCAGATTTTAATCCTAGAATAGAATTATATAAAAGTTAATGCAATCACTCAATACGAAAAAAATGAACTATCAAATTGAAAAGTGAAAAATTTGGTTAAATTCAATATATTTGATTATTATATCTCAATGAATGCTTTAAATCAAGTGATGTTTCAAACAAAAACCTAAACTGAGTTAGTACCTATAAAATCTAATCATTCAGGCTCAATAGATAATATCTTTGTCAAAAATAAATAAACCCAATTAAATTAATTAGAAGAAGCAAGAAAGTACTAATTCATAAACCAATTAAGGTTACGAAAATATGAAATCCTTTTTTGAATTCTCATTTATAAATTTCAGCATCTTTATTTTAGATAATCTATATGAATATAAGTTTCTCTTTTATAAATTTTATTGTTTGCATTTTTTTATCTTGCTGTAGGGAATGATTAGAAAATTAATTATATATTTGATCTAATTCTACGAATAAATGTGATAGAATTAGATTTTCATTTTTATATTAAATTAATATTGACTAAGAACAATTCATATAATGACTTCAAATAGAGCAGTTAATAATGAATTTCAAATAACATCATAAGGTTCTAGCAGTCGGATCCCAAATGGATAAAAACAAGTCTAAAAGGATGTTAGTTTGAATTAAGTCATATTTATAGCAAATTTTAAAAGGCATTTGATTAATATTTTGATACTTAAAGAGTTTGGCATATTCCATTAAGCTTTATTGGTAGTTACTTCAAACAGAGATGACTAGTTGATAAATAGTGATAAATAATATCATATTGTTGAATATCAAGATGATAGCAAAGTTAAGGGTTACTAAATTAATTTAAAAAATAAACATAATGCACACTTCTTAAAAGATTTGAATAAATTTGAGGATGAAGAATTTATTTGGGAGAAAATCTCATTAAAGAAATAGTTTGATATTGATACATTAGATCTCACAGTCTTTCAAATTATGGATAGAATGCAAAATATTGCATATTTAAGGGGATCTTATAATCTTCTTACAAACAACTGTTAAGATGTAGCAAATTAATTGACTGAATAACTATTGCTGGAAAACATATCTAACAAAAATGTGGTATTTCTAGCATTGACTGAAAAATAAAGTTACTATGAGGAAGGAGAATCACAATCTCATTCAGCGTTATTGGTCGTTACTAATTATTCTAATAATGGGTCATAACCAGAAGATTAAAAATATTATATTATTGAATATCTAAAAGATGGAAAAATAAAAGCTTATCAGTTTTATATAAAGAATTAACCTTAAAACCTAGAGAATTTAAATTAATTTAATAATGGGAGAAATTTTTGGTAAACAAAGGCAAAAATTTGTAAATTTTACATCTAATAAACAGTGTCTAACATTATTGATTAAATGAATAATATAAATTATGATAATGTTAAGAATGAAAATAATAGTTATCGTATAGCAAAGTATACATTTGATCAAATGAATTAAATTTAAGAATAAGAAAGATAAAGATAAAGTAGTGAATTTGATTGTAAGGAAGGTTTACAAAAGTTTTGGGAAATATTGAAAATAGTAATAATGGTATTTGCTATTTGCCAAACTTATAATTTTTTTATTATGACAAAAACCTTTCTTTTGAGTTGAATATCATTTTCCATTTGCATTCATAATATTCAATATGATTTAATCATTAATTGTATTTTCACTCTTCCCCACAATACGTTTTCACTTAAAAATGCGTTTAAACTTATGAAACTACTTTTGAAGTTCAGATTTCAATTAAGATGAGTTCAAATGAAAGGAGGCATCAGATAAGAAATAAAAATGAAATTGAAATACAATATTGTTGGCCAAATTTAATCATGAGGTTTGAAAATAAAAATTAGAGTGATTTTATACTTATTAATGTTGTTTTTAAAATTTAACAATTAATAAAAGTTTTATATCCTAATAAAGGTCGAGCCAACTCTCCATTTATTTGTTCTTATAGAGTCAGAAAAAATTTTCAGTAAGTATGAATGTTTAAATACACCTACGGTTATAAGAGTTAGGAAAAACTATAGTTTTGAAATGGTAAACATCAAATCCTCCTCATGAAATTTTGTGAAATTTCTTGCTTTATTACATGATTTTAAACAAATTATGATTGTAATTAAATAAGGAGGATCTACTTATTTTCTGAAGTGACGATAAGGCAATACTTATCTATATTCATTAGATAAACATAAAGTAGTTCTATTATTGAAGTTAAATGGATAAGTTATCTATTAAAGTAAGATTCTAATAATCAGGTAAGAAAAAATCAAAAATTGGTCAAGCTATTGACTTCTCATTTAGACTAATAGAAATTACCTTATTTCAATAGTTTAGGTCAAAATCCCCCTAATGATTTAAGGAAATATGAGTTATCAATAGCTAGAAAAATACATTTAATTTATTGGACACAAGGAAAATTTATATAAATTAATTTAAATATTTATTAATTATTAATGTAAAGTATATAATCATAATAGATTATATCAACTCTTCAACTCATGAATTTGTAATATAAAATAAGTATATTTCCTATGGTTAAGATGCATATTAACGATAGTAGGATTCCTTTGTTGTAAGATTGACGATTCTTAATCATAGTTGCATGTCTTTAAGTCATTTTGACTCCAACTTGAATTTCTTTGGTCTAGAATATTTGAGAAATACAATACATCTTCAATGGCTTTGAGTAACTTCTCTTTTTGATTGCGTATATTATCTAAAATGGTTAATTAGGTATCCTCGGCTTCTAATAAGCGAGAATCAAGAGTGTCTAGCTATTTCACTTATGTATGCAGATCTTAATTGGGTCCTCTAATTGGTGATGGTGCTTGTTTTTTACTATTGCTGCTAACATTTGATAAGGGCATTTTATCAAGATTTGATTATAAATCTCTAAGTTTTTTTTGGCATTCCACAAAAATAAGTTTGTTAGATTTCATTTTTTAAGCAAAGTCCTTTTAATGCAGATCTGTGAAAGATCCAAACTCAATTTCCATAAATTTGAACTTAATATATTCAATCAGATTACTTATTATTCAGCTTGAACAAAAACAAGTTTCATCTTCTCAAATACTAATTGTTTGCTTTGAGTAAGTGCATATTATTTATAAAGATCATTGAATTCCTCTACTTTGTTTTTGAAGTTGGCCTCATTTTGTTGAAACATGGTTGTTGCCATTTTAATTAATTTTAAACTCAAAAATTATTAATAATAATTTCGAATGTGTTATAATAATTTCTATATAATATAAATTAATTAATGGATCAATTGGATTAGAAATAGTTAGAATAGCTTAAATAATAATAAGCATAGAAGGAACAAATGGAGGAAGTCAAAAAGTCTATTTTGACCCAAATATTGACTCCTGAAGCAAAGCAAAGATGTAAATACATTGAATATTTCATGTTTAGTGGCAAATATCAAATTGGTTAAACCAGAGAAGGCAGAGTTAATCGAAGTCTAACTTTGTTAATGGGCCAAACAAGGGAAGATTACAAATCAACTTTCTGAGGATGAATTGATAAAATTACTAGAAGCAGCAGAAGGATAGAAAAAACAAGAAACAAAAGTTACTGTAAATTTACAGTCTAAATTACATAGTTTAAGAGAAGAAAATTGTCTAGTGATGATGAAGATGACATATGATATGGGTTATTACAATTATAAATAAACAATAAACAAACTAATCTCTAGTTGATAACTCTGCTAAATGATCGAAATAGCCAAATTAAACGGCAGCTGCTTCAATTAATCTATTGAGGGAAATTCAAAACCTCCATAATCATACAACAATCCTTCATTCCTCATCTTTTTTAACAATTAGAAAATGAAATATTTACTCTTTAACCAAAATCTTATTGAGTCAATTCTTCTACAATAGTATCAATTGGATAAGTAATCACAAAGCAGCGATTGTTGTATAAGGATCCAAATCCCTAAATTTTTTTTAATTGAATTCAGACCTAATCAGATTTTATTTCTATTTATATAAGATCTTATTTGTGATTTGCATCAAGAAAACCAACTCCTCCCATCAGAATTTTTTACTGCCATGCATTTCCAAATAGTAATCACTTTGTTTTTTTTTTGAATAATACACTTTATAATTAGACTATTGAAATATTAATAATTCATCCATAATTCAAGATTTTCTCTCTTCAAATCACTTGTAGACAAGAGGAATTTTCTTGACCAAATCGATTGACGTCTTTATTTACAAAGATAAATAAACTCTATTAAAAAATTTGAAAATAGGAATCTCCAAATCAAGTTGAATAAAAATTGATTCTTTTATTAAATGATCAAATTGGTTCTATTATATTATTGGCTGCATACTTAGATAATCAACCAAGGATTTCATTATATCTGATTTCCTATGAATATATAATACATCTTAAATTTTAACTAAGCTTGTTTCCTCATCAAAAAAAAAAATACAAAAATTCTGTCTAAAGAGAAAAAAAGAGATCATTATATATTCTGATTATGTAGGAAAGATAAGTTAATGAATAAAATTAAGGACAAGCGATATTTATTATAAAATGAATATATATTTCGCTTTATTATAATGATATTAAATAAAAAGTTTGGTTTTCTATAAATTTTATATTTAATAAATAATAAACAATAATAAATTTATTAAGTCGTTATTTTTTATGGTAAAATGAAACAGTTTTTTTGATTATTATTAGTGTTGTATTTAACATAATATATCATAACTCAATACCTGATGAAATATAGTCTAAATCTTTTGTCCTTTATTTAACTTTAATGTAAAAATATAATATAAGTAAACCAATTATTGAAATCAGAGTATATATCCATCTTTTACTAGATTTTTTAAATGGAGGCTTTTTAAATGAAATATTATAAATCCCATTTGAAAATTCGTTTTTACAAAATATAGAAACATTAACTTAATTTGATGTTTTTTAATTCAAAAGACATGTTACATTCCAAGTACCTATTGAGTAATTATATATAGAGTCTTTATAAATATATAAGGCTGCTCCAGTTTGATATTATTTATTGACGATGATTGCATAATTAGATATTGTGGTGTTGAATGAACCTTATGTCAAAATTGCTTCCATTAAAATTACATCCTAGTCATTATTCAAATAATAGAAACCAACAATGTATATATTATTGTATTAAAATTATTGAGTCAAAACTCCATTTTAATAAAAAGAATTACCACTATTATTTTAATTACCATAATTAGGGATAGTTTTAGAAATTCCAAACTAAGATTCATCCCCTGCTAATCTAACATTAATTATTTCACTTATTTGATACATATCAAAATTACTCAATAGAATAATTGCTAAATTATAAGATGTTTTCATAATTAGAACGTAGGAAGGAATTAATTCAGTACAATTATTATAAGATGACTTGTCGCATTTTTTTGTCATTACTGATTCACCTTTTTTTAATTCACTATTATTTTGAACTAACATAAGTTGATATAAAAGTATTTAATGATTATAATATTATTCAATGTAAAAGATAATTATTTAAGATTATTAATATTTAATGGCAGAAATTGTTGTATCAATTAAAGCGATCGAGAAATCTTGACAATAACTTTTATCGCCGGATATAATCTAAGAGCTCTGCTTAGATTAATTAAACCAATACAAGAATTATTATTATGATGAATTTTGTAGAGTACCTAAAATAAAAATCTGATTAGAAATGGTGTTGACTTTGGAAATACTGTAAAACATTTGGGATAATTATAAAGTTTCACTTAATAGTATATTGGCTTCACAATTTAAAGTAAAATTAAGCAAATATTATTAAGTACTATTTCCACAAATTGAATATAATGAGTAATCATTTGATGCTGAATTTAGACATTGGGTAAAATTTAGATTTGAATAACTTAAACTTGATACTTATGTTAAATCACTATTTACTGTTTATATGTAAGAGTTATTCTGTAAAGCAAAGCATTCATTATTTATCGAAGTAATTAAAGAAAAGTTGCTATAATTAGGAATGCTGGTAGAATTATATTAAAATGCTTGAGTTAAACTACAATGTTTATTTAAATTATTAGTTTAAGCAAGATTTGGTGGCCCACAATATCCAACTTATCTATCAAGAATTAAATTCATTGGATATGAAAAGATTTTAGTATTATTAATTATATTATCTTTTGTTAGATTTATAGATAAATTTCTTTAATTCAAAAATACTGTGAAGTTTGAATATAAAACAATACTTTAATTAGGAGTCTATTAAAAGGCTGTCTCATTTAAGGCTGAAGTTATAGTAATAGAATAAATATATTATGGGTAAATTTTTGTATTACCCAAGAGTTAGCCTGAATTTAAAAATTCTAAGACAAAGTTTTGATTACTTTAAAGAATATACACATAATTGTTAGAAATGATTATTGATGATTAAAGGCCTGAATAAAATTACTCAGTCAATTAAATTGGTGAATCGAATTATAACTTATAATATAAACTTTAATGATATGGCAAGGATGGATTATAAACATAAACAGTGTAATTCCTAAAAATTACATATAAGAATAGGTTATCTGATTATATTATTGCTTTATTATCCACATTTACGCTATAAAGATTTTTTACGTAGTAGTATTTTGGTAGATTATACACATTATAAACTTGAAAGCATGTATTTTTTTTATCATCATTACATAGATATGATAAAATTAATTATTAACTTATTACATTTATATACTTGATTGTGAAATTGACTTTAATTACCTAGATCGGTATTGGAAGACTATTTTAATCAATCGAAATTATTATTACTTCGTTTATATTGTTGATATATAGTAAAGATGACTATGATTGTGTATTCAGAGCTATTTATATCGGATTGAATTGTATATTATTGAACAGTTTATTTATTGATGATTAATTTAAAGTAAAAGTATTTGTAAAATCAAATGTCATTATTTCAATTGCTTTTTTTAGTCTAAGAAGTAAAATATTATTATAGGTGACAAAAAAATCTTAGAATTCATCTCTAAAAGTATAATTTGAATAACTAATTATACTTTTGGTATCGTTATAATAATTAAACAAATATATTGTTTTATTATCACGGAGTCCTATTATTATCATCATTTAAGGATTAAAGCTATAAGCAGCTTATAAATAATTTGCATTTATGCTAATGTTGATTGAACATATTTCAAAGAATTAGTAAGATTGGTTTTACTCGATGTAATTGCAAAGCAAAATATCGACTGAATAATTATTATATCCTATCAAATATTAGCTAACTACAACAAAATCTATTGAAATAAATTATACTAATTAATAATTCTAGTTAAGTTTACTAACATTTGAGAATGTTATTTATTTCAAGTTAAAATATGGTTCTTTTTAGGTTATATTGTATTTTAGCAATTAGCCTGAATAGTCTTATAAAGAAATTGTTTTATTATTATCATTGTAAACTACAAAATCTTGTGACCCGTAATTTGACATTACATAAATATTTGTGTCATTCATCGATAGTATTTAAAAATAAATATTAACCAAACTTGATTAAATAGGGTAAAATTCATCTATACATATTAAAGTAAAATTTTAGTATTTTTTTGAAGGTTGTGACGCAGTCAAGTTTATTTGTATGGATGGTAATGAAATTTTATAAACCACAATTTCTTGACCAAATTAAAATAAATCATTATCATTGTTCAAATAAAATAGGGTATTGTTTGAATTAACTTGATAAGACTAATATTTTGGTAGTCCTGCTAGTTTTGGAGCAATATAAAATTTATTAATTGAAATATAAACTAAAAATTCAGTATTTTAAAGTGTCTTATAAAAAGGACATGATGAAATTGGACAACCCTCATTCATAAAATTTATTTGCCCTTCACACCCTAAGTAGCGAGCAGTTTTATATTAAATTAAAGAATCTTCATATTTGGCTAATAATAAATAAACAAAATCGCATTAAGAGTAACTCCAAAAATTATAATAGGCATTAATACTAGTAATATTATTCAAATTCTGCTAACTAAAATTAGCTTTAAAATAAAATTGAGAATCTGAAGATATGGATAATTAGAATAACTCTTGGGAGGTAATTACATAAATATTAGGAGTTATTGTAATTGGTATATCAAAATCAATAAATTGATTATTTAAGCTACTTAAATTTTGAAATGATGATGAAATTAATGAAAGTATCGAATAATCTTCAAAATATTAGGCATATACTATAAAATTATTTGTTCCATTAATAATTGATTATATTTTGGTTGACGTTGAGCATAGATGATTATATTTAATAAGCAATTTTTTGATTATTTATCCATTAACTGAATTAAAAGGAATTCATTATTTTAATAACAATCTACTAAAATAGAAAAATGTTGAGATAAATTGATAGTAAAACAATTAAACGAAGAATCAATTATTACGGATTCCCCGATTTTTTCTAAGATTTAATCCTTCCACTCATAAAATTATACTTCATTTTCATAAGACAAAGTACTAAAGTGTGTATTGTTTGATGAAATTGATTTAAATTCTATAATAATATGCTTAATAATTACTATTCCCTTTTTTTCTGTATATTTCTTCATATTAATTCATTACTTATACATTTGGAATTTAAGGATCGATTTTGCACATTAATTCACCAAAATTGAGAATCTTATATAAGTAGTTTTGATAAACTTCTCCTTCTGTCGGGTATATATAATATTCAAGCTCTTATATGTTAATAGTATATATGTTGACAAGATGAATTAATATGAGTAATATCATCTATTTTCTTAATTTTATCAATAATTTTAATATTATTATAGAATTCTTAATAATGGAAATATATTTAAATGATCTTTTAAAGATTTTTATAATAAAATAAGATGGGTTATCTTTACTATTAAAGGCAATTTTATTCATAACAGAATAAACTCAATTAAATTGTTGATTAAGAGATTTTCTAAACTATTTAGAGAATTTATTTCATGACATATACTACTAAATACTGAAATAGGTGTAAATTGATTAAATCTGTTAAATGGGTATATTATATAAAAATGAATTCTATTAGTGGCATTATATTATAATAAATTAATAAATAAAGTAATTTAGAGTATAAGACTATGAAAATGACCTTTTTGATCATTTAATTTGCCTTATTGCAATTATAATAAGATTTAAATTTTCTGAATCCATGCAAAGGATTACTTTCTGAATTTATGAGAGAGATCAAAATTGCGGATCATCATTTAAATTATGTTAATTAATTTTTTCAATTCCATTAAATTATTCAAAAATTTATTATTTTTAAAATCGCATGTTAAATATTTCATTATAAAATTTTCTTATAATTTTGCAATTAATAATAAAATAAATTATATTTACAATATAAATTTAATGTATAAAGTAAATAGTTTCAATAAAAATCATTTAAGATTGGACAATTATATCAAAGCCTTATCTTTTTAGATCTAGGCTGATTTTTATGATGAGAAGATACTGATTAGTTTCTCATGATCTTCTATTTAATCTTAATTCCAGTTGGCTATATATTTTTCCTAATCTAAGTCACCCAATAGATGAATAGGAAATTTAGTTGGACTGAATGGGCTTTGTGGTGTCATAGTTTGGATGAATGCAATAATGGTCTATACGATTTCACTTGATCTTTGTTGATTATGATTGCATTACATAACAAATACCTCTTATGTTCTTAATATCCCTTAAAAATTGTATCAATATGATATTAAGGAATGAGACTGTCTTGCTTTGATGCCAATAAAAGCATAGGACAAGTGATATTTAAATTTAAAGGCAATTGAACTTTATTAATTTTAAACTAGAATATCTGGAGTATGTAGTTTTAGTTTTATTAAATTTATTACTACGTCTTCCAAAACCAAAAATGGACTATCCAAAACCAAACATTTTATATCTCATTCTTCTGAGTATACATCAACGCTGTGGTTGCTCACCGACCTTCCCCACAAAATCATATGCAAATATTTCTCCTTCAAATGTCGAACCACCACTGCTAGGTTCTCCTCCTCTTTAAGAATTCATTAAAATCAATAATTACCCAAATGTTACAAAGTCTCCTAAAGACTATCCAACGGCTTGAAAATCAAATGAACAAAAATCGAAATCATTTTTACATGCAAAAAAAGCATATTAAACAGCTTCCAACTTTGATCCAATCTAACCATGCAAATACAATATGCATGATTTGGTATATTTATTACATTTAAATAGAGAACATTGTAATCCTTGCAATTAGAAATCCTATCTTTGAAAACCCCATTCCAAATCTGATTTATTATACATAACGCGATTAGGCTACATTATTTACCTACAATAACCATCAAACATTTTAATTCTTTTTATTAATACTTCTGTAATTATTAATTGTTATCTTTTATAGAATAAAAATAATAAATCATTTTTCACAGATCATTTATTAAAACCCTTAGAAATTTATTGTTTGAACTAACCCTTTAAGGTTTCAATCACATAATTAATTTTTGTTATGTTTTATTTTTATTCGGTTTAGGCTTAATAGTATTATTAAATTAAAGATTCAAATTTACCATCATGAAAAGAACTAAAACTTATGTATTTTTCTGTCTTATTTTTGAAATCCTCATTCCTGTACTAACTATCCTAATAAGCCTTTGAGAATGCAAGCAATTAGATTAAAAACTTTAATTAAATATCCCCATTAAAAATCCCACAACCCCATTTACCAGTAGAAACATATTTACTATCTGTGTGATCGAGAGCCAAGGAAAAGGCAATGTAACTCTTCACCAATTCTCTATTAATATACTTTTCATCAAATTAAATTTGCCAATTTGAATAGAATATTGCATCCATACACTAAATATTAAATGTGAATATTACTAAGATATGATTTGTGATAATTTTCTTATTGTGAGCGTCATTTTATTTGTTTAAATCTTGTTGTCTTTGAGAAAACTCATTATTTTGTTTTAAGGAAGAGTTAGAATTCCATTTAAAATAATCTTCCTCCTTTTATCTAAAAGTTTATCCATATCCATCATAATCATTAAATTTAATTAGATTCTTAATGAGAATGGCTTCATTGTCATTCATAGGTTCCATAAATAACATGCTTATAAGTGCTTCAGGATGTGTTAACATCAAAACCTATAAGACAATTAATTTAAATCATTACTTCCTCTTAAGCTATGTTTAACGAATCTAAACTTAAACCACCTACATTTTTATCCGCAAAATTCACTAAAATTGAATTTTCATAATCCTCACACCTTCCTTTATTCTTTTGAAACTAACTCAAAGGACACTGTTAATCATTGTATATTTCTTTATAATTTCGAAACTCAGTTCTTCTAATAAAAGTAACCAATTCATCTTATTACTACATTTCTGAATATTCCTTTGGGTTATTGTTTATAAATTATCTAAGAATCATTTGGATCCTTTAATTTAATTATTCTATTTTTTTATCATGTTGATGTTGTTCTTCCTAAATCTCTTTTTCAAGATTTTAAATTTGCCTTTGAATTTCATTTGAATTCAAATTATAATCATTGCTTACTCCATCATTTTACTTTAAAATTCTGTGGTAAAAATTAATAAAGTAAGAATGAATACACTTGAGTTTTTCCTAAGATTATTTTGATTAACTCTATTTTATTAATTCCATATTAATCTGATAAAATCCTTTCATGTTTTGATTATCCTTCTCTAAAATATTCGAATACATCATTAATAATAAAACAAAGACCTCTTTTCGAGTAAATTCAATCTTTTTTTCTATAAAGGGTTTTTCTTAATTGTTTCCTTATTATTATTAATTTTGTAAGCTGGATCTTTCTTCCTAATAATTGTATTTTTTCCCATTGTCTTTGATATTGGTTTGTTTTTATTTTGCAATAAATTCATTAATAGAACTAATTAGTTTGAGGTGGTAATCTTTTATTAATTAATTTGCAATTTTATTAAATTAGACCGTAAACTGTTTATCCTACATATAAATGATTATTCCTCACATTCGATATATTTGAGAAGTCAAAGTACTCCTTTCTATTTGCTTTAATCCTTAATTGCATTTTTAATTCTATTAGAAATACAAATATTTAGATAAATAATAATATTAATAAAAAAAAATGTGTGAAAGTAGCATTTTCTTCATTGATATAATACGCTTAAATTTAGATTATAATTTAACATTTAATAAATTACGAGCTCTTTATTTATAAAATATTTTTGTATTATAGAATAAGCCTAGCCAGTAAAGTCTAAATGATATTAGAAGACTTGAGAATGAAATTAGAAATAATATATAGTTTTCAATATAGACTCTTGGTGTGAAAAGGAAGTTAACTTATCTTAATTTGAATAATACTTCATAATAAAATAAAACCAATTTAGCAGGATGTAGTAGTTTTATCATGTGCAATATGAATTAATTTGAGAAATTTTAGAAGAGATTTGAAAGGCTTTTTAGTAATTTCTTTTGTAAATTTTGGTTTTATTATTATTATTTATTTTGATATTTATGAAAGTATTCTTAATATATGATAATCATTGATTATTATTTGATTATATGGACAAATATAAAAGAAGATTTGAAAAATAATTATTATTAAAATAAAATATTTATAAAATAAATTAGCTGTCTAGATTAGTGAAATGTTCAAATAGACAAAAGTCAATGATGGCTTCAAACTTCCAAGAATCGAAAAGTCCCATGCTTATGTTCCTTAGTCTAATCGGGATTCATTAGATTTCCTTTTAGGGAAAAATAAGAATGATTACGCTCCATAAATTATATCAGAAAAGAAGTTGATTACTGAGCTGCCTACAAATCGATTGGCTCGTCGAGGCAGTTAAATTTTGGATGGTTCTTCATAAGTGTTTATGCCAGTGCAGTAAACTTAGAGAAAGATCAGTCAAATGGATTGTAAATATGATATTGAAAATTTTTTTACTTTGGAACCTAAACCTGTGGTTAAAAAACCAATGGTTATTGCCAAAATAAATCGTATACCTAAGCATTACCGCTTATAAAATTTTACCGATTGGGTCGAAAAGTTATATGGTTAAGATTGGTTCAATGATTAAATATGATCACAAATTTTTACTTAAACTTCACTTAACTTATCTAATCATAGATTTCTTAAACTCTTTCTATTTGGGATACTCTTCTCCAGAAATGACTCTATCATCCACTTCAATAATCAATATTATATCATATCATTTCTATATAGGATAATTATGATTTAGGGATTAATTCAAATAGGATCCCTAAATTGCTCTGATGACTTGCCTTAGACAATCATAAAGACTTTATCAGTGGAGTTTTGTAACCATATGTGATCGGACAAAATCAAAAGGAATATTAATGTAATGATTTCAGTATATTATATAGATGGATTTATTAGAGAACTGCATTTGAATAAGACTTTTATTAAAAATTGAGCGAATGATTGAAAATAAGTCTTCTTGAGTATTTTTGACTCATTATTATTTTATATATATTTAATAAAGTATTAAAAAAATTACCCTTTAGCTATAGTGATTTAATAAGTAATCAATCATCCTTGCTTAAAAAGAAATAGAATACAATTCCTTGCCCTCCTCTCAATAATTTCATAGTTATTTTATCATATGCTAGTATTTAACTAGAAAATGTCTTCATTTATATTTGGATTCCATATTTCTCATTGCACAAAATGTATAGCTTAAGATGATCAGAGTCCATTTTAAAATAAAGATAATTAATTCAAACTTTATCCATGTAATCTTTTATTAGATTCTTCCATATAAGTCCCTAATCAGTATTGTGTTTCCTTGTTCTGATTGATTAAAATTGAGATTTGATCAATTACATTCCAATGGTTTTAGTAAGGGTTCCAAAATTTGGTTTTGATTATTATGATAGATTATTTTATCATTTTCCTATTTGTGAAAACAATACAACCTTAATTTATATTGGATTAAGTGCAAGTTCTGAACTATGAATTCAATGAGAAGCTTGAATTGAATCCACTATTCAAGCGAAATTGTCTGAATGATAGAGAGCGTTTGTGTAAACTACATTTAGAGGCCTTATCACCAAAAGTTGAGGAGATAATATCTATTGTACAATATTCAATTAAATAGCAAGGCAAGTGAGTACCTCAATTACTTTGGAGCTGAAGATCCTGATCAATACTAGAGGCTTATGAATTAAATCATCACTCAATATGTTTATAGGCAAGATGAATATTAAGCATACGCACTTGTATTCTAAGGATTGAGAGATGTGGTATAGAGTATACTCAATATATAAATTGGCATAAATTCTAAAGAAGGAGAAATGATGATAGTGATGGAGAATACAACTAAGCAATTCGACAATCTAATTACATTTGAAAATCTCTATCTTTCTGAAGATGGCAACTTTATATATACAAAAGAACAGGAAGGTGTGATTCATTTCAATTCTTCTGTTAATCTTGGAACAATAAAGATGAATTCAACCTAAATATTAGCGAGTTATTTCAATAAAAAAAAGACTCTTTTCAAAAGTCGATCAATGGTTGAATTATTTGGTGGTGGAACAGAAATCACAAAATTAAACATCAGTGCTCATTCTCAAATTGCATACATCACATTTATGATCGAAGCAACACCTTTAAGTCCTGAAAAACTCAAAAATAAGATTCATATTGCACTTCAATAAAGATATAGACAACTTCATAGAATTAAGGATGATTTTATAGAATAATTTATTAGGCATTTCGTTCCAAAGTATATGCATCCAGCATTGCATGACATAATTTAGAATATGATTCAAAATAAACCAGTTTAAACTCAATATCTAGAATTATAATTTATAATAGATGAATTGAGGACTACGAAAAGTGAAAAATTGATAGAACTTAATAAATTGATTGAATAACTTTTATAATGATGCTCAATCTACATCTAAAGACTGACTCTTCTTTAAAAATCCCATTTTTGGCTATTAAGCATTTAATTAAGACAATTAGTTATCAATGCCTGATGATTCATCATCAATCACATAATCATCATCTTTACTTTTTTACTTTTGTTGATAACTGTTTTGTAATGCGAATTTGTGTAGATCTTGGCGATTTCTCTTTTTCTTAGAATTTTAATTATTTTAAACCAACCCCTCCTGTTTCATTTGTGAACAGAATTGACTGAATTTAGATAGATAAGGCTACTATTACTTATCAGCCTTATTATTCGAACTGACATTGGAACAATTGGACAAAGATCCTATTGTCTCAGTCTAACCATTCCATTGTTATTATTTACTCAGTAATAACATCGAACCTTCTTAACTTTCCGAAGAACTAAAAGTAGATCTACTTATAATACTTCTTTCTTAGTAGAGGTGAATTGAATTCCATTTCATATTTTTGCAAATTGTCCTTGTTATCCATTAAATCATCTTAATTATAGATTTCTTAAAAGTATTCATGTTTCAAACACTCCTCTGCAGAGCATCTGTCAGTTGGATCAGCCTTTAACATTAGTTTCAGTAAACTCCTCAGATTTTAAGGGCACTAAAATAAATATTGAGCAAAATACCTTGTTTAATTGTTGAATATCATAATTGATTTGACAGACCTTGTTTGATTTTAATATCTCCTTATATTCATACCCTTTAAAAGGTTGGATTCCAGTAATCATCAAGTAGAATATAACTCCTGCACTAAAGACATCGCATTTTTCATTATAAAAGGGACCATAATCGTTATACTTCAATATTTCAGGAGCTACAAATCCTGGAGTCCCGCATCTTTTATAGAGTGGCTATTGATCCATTATATGAGCAAGACCAAAATCTGCAATAACGATATCAGTATCATTATCTTTACTCTTCAATAACAAGTTTTCTGGTTTCAAATCTCTGTGCATGCACTTCTTAGAATGCATATGAAATAGGGCTTTTAATAAGTTGTACATCAATTTTTAGATTTTCTGAGTTGTATAAATTTTTGATTGAGCTCTTCTCAATAACTCCCCTCCTTCCAATAAATCCAATACAAAATATATAGAGTTTTATGTTTCGTGCACTTCATAGAGATGCAGAATGTTCTCCTAATTCAATCTCCTCATCACTCTTATCTCATTTTCTAAACCTTCCCTTCCTCTAAACTGACCATGTATGTAGAGTTTGCTAAATGCTTTCACTGCGTACTGAACTCCATTTGATTACCTTTTGGCTAGATATACGTTGGCAAAACTTCCCTTTCCGATCATTTTGAGGACTTAAAAATCATTATGGAAAGTCGTCAATATACACTTGTCAATTAAGGCCTTCTTCAGTTACTCTAAGTTTTCAAGGACAATATCCACATACTGGCCATTTCTCTGCAATCTAATGTACTCCTGATCGTTGTATCGTTTAAATAGCATGACTGTAACAGTCAGCTAAAGCATTCCTTAAGGTTATTCATTTTTGAAGGCATATAAAGTTTCCTAGCCAATTTAAATGCTAAATGGTTTTAATTCCTTATGAGTTTTGCTCAATCTATTGCATTCAGTCTTGTATTCTATGCTATCATTCTAATTAATTTTTTAAACTGATTACTTTATACTAAATTTTGCAAAACTTCGTCCAAATCTTATCCTTCAATTAATCCTTATTATCAAAGAAAGAGTGAATTTCACTAGTCATATTTAAAGAGCTAATAAATAAATATAATTTTATTGATTAAATTATCTTTATTAGCTACTCTATTCGGTCTCATTAATTTAGGGAATCCATGTGCATCTGGCAACAGCAACCCAAGAAATTTAATTATACATAATATAATCATTTTTTTGTATTATTAGAATATATACCTTAATAAATTTAAAATTTAGGGATATTTTAATTTATTTGTTCATATTAATTCTTCATTGTATTTTAGAATTCTTTCATCATATGCTATTTATCTTAAATTTCTAATTATTAAATTTATATCGATACAATAAAGCCCTATTTTAACACAATTAATATATATCAAATCTATTTCTGAAGCAATTCAAAACCCTTTATTTTCTTGACAAATATTTTTCTCTAATATTTACATTTGGAACAATTCTTGATAATAAATAATTTTTTGCAAATTTTTTTAAATTTCACTTCTCCAAAAATAATTGGACTTTAGCATTTCTTACAATGAGTGTGCTTTATTGATGGAGTCATTCTAATTGGTACCTTCTCAGCTACCTTTTACATTTATTCCTTCATTAATTTTGCATACTCAATATTTGATTCAGAAAACAAGAGCGATGCCTAATAAAGGTAATTCAGTCTGAAATAAGCATCATTATCCTTTCTTCTGTGAATATCCTCTGAAGTTATTACGTATTAAACCATCTCAATGAAATTTATTTATTAATTTATATACTGCTTATTGTTAATAAATATATTTATCACCCAAATTTTTCATCATTTCTGTAGAAATCTATTTTCAATAATCATTAATTTATTCTACACTCATCATTTCCAAGTTTATTGTGAATAGCTCTAACTCGAAGTCATTTTTGATTAAAATAAATTTCTAAGTTCAATCGCATTTCCAAAGATGAATTATAATTACATTCGTCTTACTTTACTCTTATGCATGAGTCTCCATCTTTTAAGGCTAAATTCAACATGACACTAAATATTATTTCATTTCTTTAAATACTTAATAATTTTAAGTTTTATAACAAATCTATAATAACGACAATAGTGATATACATCCATATTTAGTGTTTTTTGCAAAAAAATAGTGCATAATTAATCTCCTAATTATAGAGTTAAAATCCAAAAAATCTATATGAACCTTACAATTTGTAAATTAAGGATGCATTTTTTTTTGTAATATGTATAGGTAGGTTTATATAATATTTTCGGAAAAATTCATTTACATAAGAGTTTGGACAGACTATTGATTTTTATCTAAAGAACTTTGGGATAACGAAGAAAATGTATATCTGCATAGAATGCGATCAATTATTCTTTAGAAGATGCAATTATATCAATATTATTAGAAACTTTACGTTTTATAAATATAACAATAATTGTAAATCGAAAAAGGCACAGTTATTCAATCTTTTTTTTCAGAATTTTAACATATTATTTTTTGATAATTTGAAAAACAAAGAGAAATAATTTAAATAAATTAACCAAAATTGTTAATAACTTTGCTTAAGGTCTTTAAAATATCATAAAATTACTTAGAGAGATTTACGTCATAATTAAATGAAAAGATTACAAACATGTATCCCCATAAGTTGCATAATGTCAGAATGTAAATTAAATTTAAGAAAATCCTGATATCATTATTATAATTCAACCATTTCATAAGCACAGCATCCCATGGTAGCAGGGTCTAATCCCTCATGTTCTTCTTCCAATGTTACTCTCAAGAATCCTATTTTATCAATAAATAGAAGAGTTATCAAATGAATGAGAGCAGACCATCCAATATATATGAAGGATCCCAGCATTTAAACAGCGAATTAATAGCCTCCTTTTCCATAGACAATTCCTGTATCCATGTCAAACCAAGATACCAAATTGGCTCCCAACATTCCACATGCCTGAATAGGATAGAAATATCTACAAAGTGAATTGAAATAGCATCAACAGGATCATCTATCTATAGATTGAATAGGACTCTATTGGCGAAGACCATCATCATACCTCCAAGTATTCCAATAACAAAAGCAGCCCATGCATCAACATTATCGCAAGGTCTAATAGATAAGAATATCAGATTACCCAGTGATGGCTACTAATCCAGCAAGATTGCCGTTACAAATCATGACTAAGGAATATTTATTACCTTGATCGATGTTCATTAAATAGAAAATAAAGAAAACTGTTAAAGCTCCTGAGGCTCCAGCGATGAAGGTATTCATAATAGCACGACTCATAAAAACACTAGCTCCATTGGCAATACCTAATGAGGATCCACCATTGAAGAAGCACCAACAGACCCATAAAGAAAGACATGCTAAAGTGATATAAATTGGGTTATTCGGTTCAAAGTGTTCTGCATATTTTGGATTAAACCTTTAATTTCTTGGTTTTAACAGCATGGTTGTCATTAAAGCACCCATACCAGCTGAAGCATGAATGGTACCACTGCCAGCATAATCATGATACCCTAGTTTCATTAACCACCCATTTCCAAATCCCCAATGAGCACAGAATGGGTATATAACTGAAGAAAACACGACTGATAATATAAAGTATCCAATGTAAGTCATACGACCAGCAGCACCTCCTGAAACTATGCTGGTGGCAGCAGAAGCTACAGCTGTCTGAAATGCAAACTCTGCCAAATGTTTAGAATTTTTCATATCGAATCCCACATAAACAGATGATCCAACGAATTCTTTTGAATCTCTTCCAAAAGCAATTCCATAGCCAACAAGCCACCAAATTACAACAGTAACACAGGTGTTCATAAATATTTTGAGCATTATACTTTGCATGTCCTTATACCTAAGACATCCACCTTCAAGGAATGCAAATCCAACTTGCATCAATAATACGAATGCAGCACAGATACATAGGTATCCCTAAAATAACTACTGTATTTTACAATGTCTATAGATTCTTTGAGTTATTCCATACGCTCAATTGCTATTCCTAAATCCGTCATATTTTTTAATATATTTATAAAACTAAGTCAATATCAATTTTATTTCTTATCCAAGATCTTTTGTATCAACTTCTGTTTCCAATATCTATCCTGCACAATCGGTTCTGGTACTTTATAGGCAAATGAACTAATTTCAAAATTGGAAAGTTACTTTTTAAAAGTGGTTTTGAATTATCCATCATAAGACCCATTTCCTTATTGATGAGTGCTGTATTTTTTAATGGGTTGTAATTCTTCTATCTAATAACCTGGATAGTGGATTTTAGATAAGGCTTCTTTGAAGATCATGGAGCTGCCCGAAGCAAAAGGACCTCTGAAATATTGCTAATATTCAATACAGGGACTTCTTTTTGGCGGATTCCATAGGTTCGAAATTGTTAATCCGATAGTTCTCTTAATAGGAGGTCTTGCCAATGAAGGGCAGGGCTCCGGTGCTTTATCCTCTTTTAGGTCCCATCCTATCTGTAAGAGTTGGTTTCCAATTGATGTAATTTTGCTTATAGCTTGTGAGAGTGAGCATCTCAGCCTTGTCCCTAGTATAGGAGGGTTTGCAATTGTCCTGAGGGTTAATTTTGGGAGTACGATATGAAGTCTAGATATTTATAAAAATGTAAACTTCGTATTGCGTTTGTAACTGAAGAGATTAGGCAACTGGCACTTAATCATACATCTTAATGTTGAACTGTTATTGATCAAGGGCATTAAGTTTCTTATAGACTTGGTCATAGGTAGTCTGCTTTTTCTAGGGCAGAGACACCTTTAGTTCTTGTATTCTGTTTTATTGTCTCTCTTGCATGTACAAGCCAAGGAGATTAACGAAATACTCTTGATTATCCATAATCAATTTCTCGAGGTTGAAGTTTGGATCCGATTGAATTTCAGGCGGAATCAACTCCAACCAAAGGGGATCGTCAATTGGCACTAAGTCGAAAATGGTGTTAGTTTATAATTTCACATTTTCTGAAGGAGTAGGAGTAATAGTTCGAGATTTTACTGAATGAGCAGGTTAAGATTAATGAGAATGTTGGGATTTAGCCAATTTTTCTTGAGGCTCAACTATTTCGCCTTTGTTGTTTTTGTAAACAATTCTTTTCTTTCCCTTACTCTCATATCTGCTGTAGCTCTTTAATGAGCCTTCAGTTGGTGATCGCACCAAAAGAGTTTGTTGAGATGGCTACAATAAACCTTGCATAATTATTAATTAACATGAAATAGAGGATTGTTTTAATTAATATGTATTTATTTCATTATTATTTGCATTCTGGTTTCTCTGCTTTTTTATTATCGCCTCCTTTACTGCCACTCGACTTCTTTCTTTTCTAAAACTCATATAAGATTCATACCGATTTCTTTTTATCATCCTCGTCATCTGTATCCTCATCATTGTCATCATCATCTTCCTCATCATCCTCATCCATTCCATCAATTTCTGGTTGCAATCCCAAATACAACTCCAAAGAACTAGGAACGATAGAATCTAAGAATTCTGTGGCAATATCAAAGTGTTCATTCATTAAATCTTCCTACTTCTATAATTCCTCTTCATCCAATTCCTTCTGATTGGTGAGATCAAAGTCTTTAAAGAAATTGAAGAAACTGTCTGCATCGACCACTTTGTCCACGTTTCTTGAAGCTCCAGTTTTCTTGTTCTTCTACTTCTTCGAAACCTTCTTTTAAGTTATGTTTTTTCCTTCCTTCCAATTAATGTGAGTAGATTCACTCTTTACTGGAGTGTCTTCATTCTTTTCAAAAATGAATCTCTTCTTGAGTACATCATTAGTGAAATATTCATTGGGTAAGAATCTCAATTTAACAGTGAAATTGTTATTGTTCTCCTCATGTTCCAATTCAACTTTCTGAAGAAATTTCAACACTTCCCAATCCTTCTCGTTATCATGACAAACTTCAGCTTAAAACTTAATATTGTAATGTTACATATCAAAGTTGAGTTTTTAAGTACTTTGTACCAATATTCTGACAAAGGTTCTGCGACATTCTTTTCATTGACTTCTTGTGTTTCAGTGTCATTTACATATTTTGCCAAATCAGCTAATTCGACTCCATTTGGAATTCTCTATCCCAATATGATTTCATTTTGCTTTCAAATTTAACTTTTTCAATTACCTGTTCGTATATTGGTAAATTGAGTCGATCATATTAATTGGTGACTTTGTTAATTTCTTCCTATAACTCTTCATCATATTTTTATTTTCGTTTGAGACTATGGAATAGAGCTACTGCATGGACTCTTTAAGCAAGAGGCAGAGTTTTTATCTTAGCTATGACTTCGTCAATATTTGAGTTCTCGTGATCACTCATTAAAATTTATAATGAATTAAGTAAAGCATTTCAAATTCATACTCTAATATCTAGAATTCAGTTCCAAATCAGATCAATAGCAATACGAATTAACCATCTTATTGAAACGCAGTACGGCTGCTGCTCAATAAGTTGTTACCAAATTACAAATCAAGAATCCTGAACGCACCATGACTATTTGTCGTCTTCCCATTGATCAAGTTGTCGAGTTTCAATAACGCATGACCAAAAAGGATGGAATCTATGCAGACTATAATGTAATATACTCCTTGTCTAATTAGATCAAATTCCTTTTCTATTTGGCTGGCAATCAATTGCTTGGTGACTGTGTAATCAATCTAGCCTACTTTCTCGACGGTGGAGCACCTCAAGATTAAAAACAGAAAAAACCACTCACTTCCACAACAGATAAAAGAGCTGCCCTACTCTTCAAAGTGATTAAGGATTCAATATACGAGTCTCAAGAATTCCCAATCGCAGACGTTCCTGCTCCAGTTATTGGACCTGCACCTCAGACAGCACGAACATCCAGCACTAGGAAGATAGACTCCAGAACAACCAGAGCACGTAGTCAATCTCCACCCAAGGAGTTTAAGACTGCCATTATCGTAAGTAAAGCCAATGAATAACCAGCCGAATCAACTGTTTCACAATCCTCATTCAAATAACAATAACATCATTAGCAGACATAATAGGATAATCTCACTTAAAAGTTTGTGCAATTGGGTGAAAAATTTCAATAACAAAAGTAGCAATAAATAGTTTAACCACCATCACCACCACCTCCTTAGGAGTATGATAACTTCAAAGAAATCACTGATCTTCTCTCTTAATAAGAGGCTGAATTGGAAAAATAAATTGAGCAATTAGACATTCATATCAGATCTGATGGAAAGTTTAAGAAGATTTTCGATGATTCCACATTCAATAATTTTGACGTTAGTTCACAAGATTCAGAAATCTAACTATGGAAATAAAAGTGTGCAGAACTTGAAGATAAATTTAACAAAGTCCAGGATGAAAATTAACATCTTACTGTCATTATCAGATAATAGAGTGAACAGTTAAAAAAAATGAATCAGAGATCTCAATCTGGTTATAAGTAAATTAATGACAATGCTCTCAATCAATCCACTACGTCGAATCAAGAATAGTATGAGAAAACTATTGACAAGAAAAATTAAATCATTAAAGAATTATCCAATTAACTATTAGAGTTAGAGAAGAATGCTAATGTCAACATAATCGATTAATTGAAAAGTTAAATTGTGAGATTAGAATAATAAATGCAAGAGAAAGAAGATTAGTGGTTGGCATAAGAAAGAATATATAAGGATAAGATAATTTAATTGTTATAAAATACAGAATGAATTTATCAACTAAAACTGTGTTTATTTGTTTACATTCTGCTTTATATATTGACCATTTAATTATTTAATAGTTTGATTCTCTTTTGTCTATTTATGTGGGATACTCATGTAATTAGATTTCCAACTTCCAATTAATTACTATTTAAAAAAGACCTGATGATCCAGCTGAAGTTCCTATTATGACATAAGAGAAATTGCAGGAGTTTAAAATATTCTTAATCTTCATGTTCAATTTAACTTTATATACACTAATTATGGCTCATTAAGGATTATTTATATTTTTTATTGTTATTCTTCTTTTTATGATATTTTTTGCCTCCATTCTAATTTTTTTCTTTGTGAGTTGATATATAACTCATTATTTACTCAAGAATGTGAAGAAAACTGTTTAATCCAATGCCAATCAAATTTAAATCCAGCTTTATTAGTTCACTTCGCTTAAATCAACATATCTCAATAAAATAAGGATATTTATTTCTTTAATATTTTCAAATTATAAGTATTAGATACTCCAACTATAAAGTGAAATGTATTAACTTTAATTTCTAATCCTGAGTTAATAGATAATAGATAATTTTTTTATTTTGTAATTCTCTACTATCCGCCATTTAATATATAAATATAATACGTTTCAAATATAAATTAATGAAGGAATAAAAATATTTGAAAAATTACAAGTCAATCAAATTTGCGATAAGCACAACTCAGATAGGAGTACGGGTCTTCCTTATTAGTTGGAGCATACTCTTCAACCTCATCACTTGAAAATATTTCGTTGAGGATTAACTCCTATGATTCTTCCTATAGAGAATCAAATGATTCCTCCTTTTTTGGGACACTCAAGAATTTATCATAAGGTATTTCTTTCTTCAACTCAGCCTTCAAATTTTCAATTGCTTGGATATAGAGTTACTTAGTTGACTGATCTTTGATCTTGTTGTTAAGAAGTACACAGATGTCCGCCTGAGTACTCAAGAAATCAATCCATTTATTCTGAGTCTCCATCTGGATGATCTTGGTTCGTGGATTGATAGCACCGAATAATTTCTTGAGATCTCCCAATTCAAACTTTTATTACTTTGAAGTCTTCTTCTTATGAATGGCTCTTAGATACCCATCAACCTGTTTGTATCCCATTTCTTCCGCCCAATGCATGAATTGATTCATGAAAAAGGGCACTATACGCCTTTAAAAATTGTGCAACTTCTTAACTGAATAAGGCACTTCTCTTTATTTTTGTTATGGTTTTATTTTTAAATGAGTATTTATAACATCCAATAAGGATTCGTCCATCTAAATCACTGCTTTTCCATTACATTACTTAAGAATCTAAATAATTTTATTATAGATCTTACTTGATATGTGTAGATTTCTTGCATTTTATTAATAATAGTAAAGGTTCTTTGAAAAAATTACATTTAATGATGTTTTCATTACAAAGTTCAACAATAATCATGGAATATTCATTATAAATAAAATTAATAACTCATATTCAGTCAATGAGAATACCTTTCTCATCGAGAACTCATATATTTCTGATATTAATCATATTGAACCCTTCTATGTGATTGAATCTTTATTCAAAGCTTTTCCTTCTTAATTTTACAATGACGTATTTTCGATTATCAAGCCGTAATAAACTTCTTTCTATAAATGATATTCACTAAATTTACAAGGTTTTCATTGATCAATATAACCTTATTGCCAAAAGTTGGTCATAAGACTTCTTCACGACCTCGAACAACCATCAATAGATTGCTCCTGTTGACTTTATAAAGATTTGGATTATATTCTATATAATTATATCTCAACTACCTCTATTTTAAAATAAAACTGGTAACTAAAAACTACTAAATTCTTTATGAATCACTCATTAATATTTAATCTATAATTACTACTTTCTATCATAATACAATCGAAATGTAGGCATTAAAGATTTATCCTCCTTCTGGTTACATGGCTTGAAAAAAATCAACCTTTTTTTGATTATTGTAAATAAATTCTTAAAGGTTGATTCCTCTAAGTTGATTTAATGTTATCTTTGTACATTTTTAAACTGGTATAATAATTATGTTGAAAGTAGATTACTTTTAAAAATGTTGTGGTCATCTTTTCTTTTAGATTTGTTATTTGATTATGAAATTTGGTATAGCAGTCATTAGCATCGCTATGGTCCTTCTTTGAAGTAGATCCATTAATAATAACATAATAATATATATGATCTGATTTTATAAGAATTCTGACTGATTGTTTAGGATTATAAAATAATCTCATGATAACTTAGGAAATTCCTACTCGTTGGTAACATCAACCTTTTATTCTTATTTCTTGACTACTTATTGAACTTCCTTTTTAACAAATTCACTATCAGGTGCATTTTCATAAAATGTCCTTTTAGTTTTAATCAAATCAATAGCCAAATCTATTTAATTTGAATAAAATGGAGCTGCCACTCTAATTTGATCAAAATATTGGAAAGTTGCCAAATCGTGTTATAAGAATGAATCCTATTATATAATATTATAATTATTACTCCTTCCTTTTTCTCAATCTTAGTTAAGTAAGAAATCAAACCATCACACAACTCTAAAAGGGTATAACATACTATAATTTACTTATTAAGTCCTCTCTTGCTGTATTATTTCCAGTAGTATCTTATTCCTCTTCGCTCTGTTCTTCTTCAACTTCAATATCTTCAGGAGCATCAGGATCTTCTACCTATATTCTATTGAAATGTCTTTCAATCCTTTTAGTATGCTTTTCTTCTGTCTTCTTGATCTTATCGATCTTCTACAAGATGTAATCTCTGTGTTTTTAGAGTTCTTATTAATTCTCATGTTGATCCTTCAATTTAATGTAGACTTGAATGAGGATCAAAACTCTTGAAGCAACTCCAAATTGGAATTGAATCTTCTCTCTTTCTTTTGTAATAGTGTATTTGAAATTTTCTTGATCCCTTGTTATCTTTTAAATGGCTTCATTGTCCTCAGCACTTTTATCCTACTTATTTGTCAAAACCTTCAATTTCTATTTGATTTGATGGTATTTGGAGTGTTCATCAGAGTATTTTGCGAGCATCTCTCTCAAGTGTTGTAGTTTGAATGCTGCAAATTCATATTCATCCTAAACCAATTTAAAAGTTCCCAAACTAACTAAATGTTAAGATATTGAAGCTTCTTTGAACAGAGCTTCAACTTCATGCTAATGATATCAATAAATAATATACGATAGCCTATTCAAATTAATCGATTTCCTTCTGGATCGCAACAGTCCATTCTTTATTTCTTAATTCTTCAAGATTTTTATTTGGTTGAATTTCTGGGTGTTTCGAAGCGACTTTAGAAGGTTTCTTTGATTTTTGAGCTGTCTTTGGTTGTTGAATTATATGATTCATAAAATATATTAATTGGATATAGTTATTAAAATCAACGTATTAATAAAATTAATTGATTAATAAATTCTTTAATATAATGTCTAAATTAATCGTAATATCTTAAATATGTATCATAAGAGAGTTTTCCATATTCTTTAAATTAATTTATAATTACTTTTCATTTCTGAATAATTTATATTGTTTACATCAATAACTGATAATAAAATTATAGTAAAATAAAGTCTAAGTTGGCAATTTAATTAAATATTCTGCATAATGTATGTACGGATTGTTGGCTTGTTATAAATATTTCAATTACATTAAATTGAATTAATATGTGTGGCTAGGAATTCATCTATGTATAAATTAAATAAACAGAAAAAATACAGAATATTTTAAAGCACATTAATTGTATTATTTTAGTTAAACAAATTAAAAATAATAGTGAACTTAAATATAGATTTGTCAATATTAATTATATATTCATATAAATTTTAATCAAATCAAATATGTAATTATCAACTATTCTATCATAAAAAATACTTAGATGCGTAAATAATAAGCATTAATTTCAAAAAGAATTAGAACTAATTATCAAATTCAATATAAATAGAAACTTACAATCAATATTAAATTTCATTAATAAATTTTGATGAAAATAATTTTCTTAGTAATCAATGTGATCTAAGTGATCTGTCTTAGTCCTTAATTTTAACTCTAAGAAAACTAAGAAATTTCATTGTACCCAACAGAAGGAGAAATTTATAAATACTATATTGATTCAATTGTAGCCGATACTTAATTAATGTGCAAAATTGATCCTTAAGTTCCAAATGTATAAGTTCTGAATTAATGTGAGGAAATATTTCAAATGCAAGGAGATGGTAAAATATTAAGTATATTATTATAGAATTTAAATCAATTTCATCAAACAATACACACTTTAGTACTTTGTCTTATGAAAATGAAGTAACATTTTATGAGTGGAAGAATTAAATCTTAGAAAAAATCTGGGAATCCGAAATAATTGATTCTTCGTTTAATTGTTTTACTATCAATTTATCTGAAATTTTTTCTATTTTAGTAGATTGTTATTAAAATAATGAATTCCTTTTAATTCAGTTAATGGATAAATAATCAAAAATTACTTATTAAATATAATCATCTATGCCAACGTCAACCAAAATATAATCAATTGTTAATGGAACAAATAATTTTATAGTATATGCCTAATATTTTGAAGATTATTCGATACTTTCATTAATTTCATCATCATTTCAAAATTTAAGTAGCTTAAATAATCAATTTATTGATTTTGATATACCAATTACAATAACTCCTAATATTTATGTAATTACCTCCCAAGAGTTATTCTAATTATCCATATCTTCAGATTCTCAATTTTGTTTTAAAGCTAATTTTAGTTAGCAGAATTTGAATAATTTTATTACCATCAATGTCTATTATGATTTATCTATTTATTCTTAATGTGATCAAATATTGTTAGCTTATTATTATTAATACTAACCTTGCCTTATTTTGCTCTTAGGATGTGAAAATTCAATAATTCAGACATAAGCTCGTTTTAATTGGCTTTAATTCGAGTCCATTTTGAATATCTTCTAAAATAGCTATTTTATAATAATTCAATTAAATTCTCAAATATTTATTGACGAAAAGCAGTCACACTTTCTGTTTGCATACCACCTAACTAACCAAGATAATTCCTTATTATATTTCAATTCTGATAAATTAACTGTAGTGAATTATTTTCATTTAATTAAAAGATGATAGTATATAAAATTTAACTTCCTTCCTTATAAGTCAATTTAACTAACTTAGAATCTGCTAGAAATAATAGTACATTTAGACTTATATGTCAGAATCAAGGGAAAAAAATATTCTATTAATCGAAAATTTATTTGTAGGTATTATCTTAGAATGATACAAATATCTATGTAATGTTTAAATAATAGTTCCCCTAATATTAATTTTCATGGAGCATTATTGTTTAAAACTCTTTTTTGAGTTTTTCTGGATAGTTATTATAATATAAGCAAAATCCAGATGGAATACCTTTAAATTTTACATTATTGAGCTAACAACAAGCTGGTCAAATTAATTACCGTTACTGCTTAGTATAATCTTTGTCACTTATATTTCAACAAAACACATATTTTTATATAATAGGATATAATAATTATTCAATCGATATTATAGGTTCCTATGGTATTCAATCGATCTTCTAATTCAGTTAAATATGTTCATTTAACATTAGTATAAATGCTAGTTCTTTATAAGTTGCTTATAGTATTAATCCTTAAATGATAATAATTGGACTTAGTGCTAATAATACAATCTATTTATTTTAATATTATAATTCTAATAATAGTATAATTAGTTATTCAAATTATACTTTTGAGTAATAATTTTCAGATTTTGTAGTTACATTCAATAATATTATAATTCTATTTGCAAATCAATAAATTAAAATAATGACATTTGATTTTACAAATAATTTTACTTTAAATTAATCATCAATAAATCATTAGTTCAATAATTTATAATTCAATCCGATATAAATAGTAGTCAATACATAATTATAGTCATCTTTGTTATATATAAACAATATAAATGAAGTGATAATAATTTCAATTGATTAAAATAGCATCCCAAAACCAATTTCACTAATCAAAGTTAATTACACAATCAAATAGATAAATTTAATAAGTTAATAATTAATTTTATCATATCTGTGTAATGATTATCAAAATATGTGCTTTTAAGTTTATAATTTGCAAAATCTACCAAAATACTATTATGTAAAGAATCTTTATAGCGTAAATGTGGATAATAAAGCAATAATATAATCAGATAACCTATTCTTATATGTAACTTTTAGTAACTACACTGTTTATGTTTATAATCCTTTCTTAACATATCATTAAAGTTTGTATTATATGTTAAAATTAACTTCACCAATTTAATGTGTTTAGGCAGTTAAAAGCTATTACTTTTATGTGCCACAATTTCAATATATATCATCAATAATACTACTTTAAAACAATACGATTCTTCAACTTTATAGAAAGTAGGAATTTCAGATAAATGTTGAATTTTACAATGAAGACTTTAACAATTCAATACAATACCCTTAATTTATTTATAATTATAATGTAACTTCATCCTTAAATGAGACAGCCTTTTAATAGACTCCTAATTAAAGTATTGTTTTATATTCAAACTTCACAGTATTTTTGAATTAAAGAAATTTATCTATAAATCTAACAAAAGATAATATAATTAATAATACTAAAATCTTTTCATATCCAATGAATTTAATTCTTGATAGATAAGTTGGATATTGTGGGCCACCAAATCTTGCTTAAACTAATAATTTAAATAAACATTGTAGTTTAACTCAAGCATTTTAATATAATTCTACCAGCATTCCTAATTATAGCAACTTTTCTTTAATTACTTCGATAAATAATGAATGCTTTGCTTTACAGAATAACTCTTACATATAAACAGTAAATAGTG